TTCGTACTTGTTGTTTTTTTGTCTTTTAAGTTTGAATTCAACGTGACTTTTCTGTGGTGCATTTCTACCCTTTTGATTTATCCCAACTTGTCCAAAAACTACCCTAGTTCGATTTGTCTTTATCTAAAGTTGAGTTACCCGTTTTGAAGGTGTTATTTACTGTCTCTGACGTTAACTTTATTCCTTTTCTAGTACATTTGGATATGTTTCAGTTCTTCTCCATTTGTTTCGTTTTTTTGGCATTTGAATGCCTTTTCCCCGGATTGAGGCTCTCGGAATAAGAGGGCTTTGGACTAGGTTTCGCCCAAAGTATATTGGCGCCTAAATTTTTTGAGACCGTAGTTTCTATTTTTCGGATGGTTGTTCAAGTTAGTAAAGACCAAGCCTTTCTTACTAACATGTTCGCTGCCAGCGTCACATGCGCGTGACGTATCTGTTACCTTTTCTGATCGCACACTTCTCATACATTTGTAACATTAATTCTTACCCATTTTTGCGCTTGCTGGTTGCGCCGAATCGTGTCTAGCAGACCGGTTTGTGTGTTTGAGAACGGGGGGGTGGAATCCAGCATATTTTTGGCCTAGTGACAGTAGCACTTTTATAGCTTTTTGGGTGCAGTTCAATTGAACAAAAATATGAGTGTAACTAGGTGTTGACTCTTTGAGAATGCAGGTGGTTTCATCGTGTCTTTTTCTTGTCCTTCCCATAGGATATTGATAGCATTGATTACTACCTCCTGTCGTACATCCTGCTGATGTTCGTCATTCCACCTGCCTACGAAGCCTTTCAACATGTAAGCTGGCACCCATCAGTTGGTGGAAAAAGCTCGTGAGCTTATCGGTGTAGCCCGTTGCAATGACTTCCTTGTCCGTAAAAGTGTCATTGTTTACTTTCTTGGTATTTCAAGAAGTGGCTAGGGCTAAGCTGATTTCTTCTAGTGGCAGAATCTTTTATAAATTAGGATTCCTTGTGGGCCTGTGTCCTGTTGGCATAGGTTTATAGATTATACATTTTACCGATGATTGTTCTAAGGAATAAAGTATTTTAAGGATTCCCCTGTAGTTACTTAATACTATTTATAAACAACTTTTCAGCATTTATTTAACCGATTTATTACTCTGTTTTTGGCAATTTAGCTCTACTGGAGATCTGTTACACCTCTGCGCAGTTTCAATTGCGCTCTTGTGGGATTTTTGGGAATTACCCTGTGGTGCGCTCTTCAATTCCACATGGTAACACGTATCAGCTATGATTTCTGCATCTTTCCACGTCAGTACTTGGGCGTTCTTCTAGTTGTCTATCAGTGAGTTTACTACTGGGAGGGGGGAATTTTCCACCCAATTACACGAGCTCGGTAAAAGTTTAATTTTGCCCTCTTTAGACCAATTATCTTCGTCATAGTCTACTACTACGAGCCAGTAAAAAGGATGATTCACGTGGTTGTGGAGAAGGCGAGGTCAATCAATCCCCGAGAGTCCATTCGATTTGTCCAGTCGCAGTTAAAGTCCCTCTATCAGACCCTGATATCGCGAAAGGTTTTTCAAGTAAATTGCTCACAGCTAAATCGCACCTACTTAACTCGACTTCAGCACGCATTATGCGGTGTTCTCATTTGACGGTTTTAAGATGCTTCAGCAGTACTTTAGTCCGTGTACCCCACGGTCCAAGGCGGGTGGTTCGCAGACAGCTCGCATTCCGCGCTACTGCCACCTCCTACCACTTCGCTATGCCACGGTTCAACCGCCACTTTCCAGCAACGTTCACCCCAGCACAGCGGTCACTTTCTATACCCTCCGTCTGTCGCATAAGCAACAGTTAGTGCCTCTGAAGCACAACTGTGTTCGATGCTCACCCAACTCTGCAGCTAATATGGAAACTGCGGCACAGACAGTACGGGAGGAGGCGGAGGTGCTGTGTGCAGACTTCAATGCGCGTTTGATGGACACCATAGCGGGCTCGGCTGTGGCTACCTTCTATGCCACCATCCTGCCCTGCTTCTTCATCAGGGTGAGTAGCGCCTATTTCTTGCTTCCAGCCGTGTGGCTTAGAAGATCATTTTTTTTGCTCTCATTTCTAGTTGTCTTTTATATTTAAAAGTGGTAGATCATTCCCGTTTTTCTGATGTTTTCACCCTAGTGGGCACTGCCTCCTCGTTTTTGAAATTCAGAGATTTTTGCTACGTTTACGTTCTTCGATTTCTCTCCCGCTTTTAATTTTTACCTGATTCTTGAAGTATCCACTCAGTTGTACGCGTCACTGGAGTGCATTTTATTAAGGTAGTTACTACTTACTTCTTTATTCGATAGCAGAGTGAAGAAGTCTTTTACTTCATTGAGATGCTACAACGACTGCTCGCATATTTCACTCGTGAATAGTTGGTCAGATTGGTGGAATGATGGTTTGTGGAGTTCGCTGCCTAATCGTTTATGTCAGATATGACCGAGTTTGTTGATTTCAATGATTTACATTTCTCTCCTGCATTTGATTTCCCCATAGGCTATAAACTCACTACTCTTTTACATCGGCAGTATGTATTTGAGGGCTTATCCAGACCTGCCCCCACTTATGCTCCGGCAGTCAGGAGACTTAGGTCAATTGTTAACTTGGGTTGTTTGAACACCGCTTTTCCACTTAATTGGGGCGGACTTTGGTGACTTTAAAATCCAGCATCATCCAGAAGCCTTTATTTCTGACATTAGTGCTAAAGTTATCATTTATTCGCGTATTTCAGTGCCACCTTCCTGGGAGCATCTAAGTATATCATTCCTCCAAACTGGTCATTTATCCCTGTTTATTCTACTGTTGCAAATATTTGTCTATTATCAACTGTCTACTTAGGTATAGCAGGTGTTAATCGTGGACGTTAGTCAAATACTTATGTGCGGTTTTTTTTTTGAAAATGGGAGCTTTTAAAAATACTTCTTTCATTGGATTCGCCATGCTTTCATCATGAGACGTAGAATTGCTTCCAATTTCACTCTTTGTTACCTACACTTCTATCCCACTTTTAATTTGCAGCGGTTTGGTGTGTGACCATGGGCTTTCTTAATGCTACCAAGGGGAGGTGACGACCATTACTTGAAGAGGTATCAAAAGAATAAGAAGGATGGGATGATACAGTATCACCCTCCTCTCTCTCTCTCCCAGTTGAAAGTTCAAATTTGACCGATAGGTTTGGCTCCGGTATGAGATTTTGCGTGAGTTTCCTGGCTGTCCCTGAGGGAGCAGTTTTCCTTGCACAACTTGGAGTTGCGTAGTGTTAAAAAGTTGCATCTCAGTCCTAATTCTTTGGCCTCCAGAAAGCAGTTCACAGTGAATGATTTCGTCTACAGTCCGCCACACAATGCAGGTCGTTGTTTCTCAGACGTCTGAAGTCGTTGGGAGATAAACAATGTTGTATTTGTCCACTTAACAGCAATAAAAGCACCTAAACTGTCTTTCATCATAAGACAGTCACTCGGCCAGTTCGTTCTCAGAAAATCTCAAATCGGTGTGTTTGGATGATAGACATGAAAGACCTGATTATGGATAGAACCCATTTGCTTAACTTCTCGTCCACAACACTGACTCTTTAACCGATGTAGGTGTCAACAAACTGCTTCACGGCGGAAAGTTGTTCTACACGCACTATTCGCCAATCATTTCAACTAGTAGTAAGACGTACTTTTTTGACCAAGAAAGGGAAGTTCTGAACTTGGATAGCAAGCTCTCCAAATGCTATGCTACACATTTAATAGAAAGCATCGGAGACTTTGGAATTAAGTGTAGGTTTATAAAGGAGACATGGTGAAGTCGTATCCATCATGTTGGTTTAACCGGTTGGAAAGGAGGAGGGTAGTTGGGGCAGTGCACCAGGAGGAACATCATACTGATAGACTATGTTTTGTACTCCATGCCTATCAACCATAACAAGCCATTGCGGTGAGCTCAGCATGAAATCCCCACGAACTTTTCTGGTAACCTAATATTGTTTTACAAATTTTTCTCCACTTCTTAGACACCTACTTATTTGCCTAATTCAGTAGGCAGTTCAAGCTCGTTTATAATCATAGAGAAATCCCATCTGTATTAAATAAAGCAGGAGGCGGCAGGTTTTTCACATCAACAGCAGATTTGCATGAGATTTGTTTCTCCTGCGAATTTAGCTTTAAAATGTGATCTCCCACTCAGCCTCTTCACAAATGTACTGGCTTGCAGCCATCTACACCCGCCTAGGTAGAAAAGTGGTTGCTTATATCCCCACAGCTCCAAGCGGAAATTAGCCGTGATTAAGCCCTCGACTGGATTTAATACATCTGAAACATTATAAATCGTTATTTATGGTGAACAGAAAAAGTAGCTCACCTCATCCCGGAAATGCTACTGGGCGTGGTTCGTTTTTTGAAGAAAGGGGGCAAAACAGTGGGTAAATCGTTTTATCCTAGCAGAATTAACTTAGTAGCTACTGCTTTTCATCCACTATCATGTTTATCAAAAACTATCTTTTTATATTGAATTTACACTCTGGTAAATGCACCCTTTTGGGAAAGAAGCAAAAAAAATTAGTGCGAAATAGTTTTGTCTAATTTAAACAGTTTTCTATGCCGTTAGGTGCGTCGATACTCACTTCTACGGTCTCTTTAAACTGTAGCTCCTTGAATCCTCCCTGAGTCCGTAATAGGATCTACAAACATCCAGTCAAAGTGTTTCATCATTGGTGCAAAGGAAGAGTAGGCTACAGGCATGGATTAAAGGGTTGTGTGGAGTACTGGGAATGTCTACGACCTCCATGAAACGTTCCTGCTTTGATCTTCCAGAAGTTCCCTTTTTTGTGGTTGATTCTCAAACCGTCCAGCATGTCTCGAGACTCGCGTTCTTGTTCACTTCTTCTGATTGACCATTAGATGGACATTAATGGGCAGTATAAGGCCAGAGCCAACTCAAGCTACCATAAATATGCGGGAGTGGAATCACCCTCCCTTTTTGGCAGTCAGTCGGCAGTCATGCCAAATATGGACGTCCGTATTTAAGTCTGTCTCCTAGTTGCTCGGATTGGAAGTTGGACGGCATCCCAACTCACGTACGCATATACCAGGCCTTAACCTTCACTGAAGGCTATCGGTTCACAAATGACCAGATGTGTTGTTTGCAGTTTGAAAGCGTTAAACTCCATTAATAAGAAATGGAGGAGGAGGGGGGGCTGTGAGGGCAAGTCTTTGGGTGTGTCACTCACAAGAAGGCGAAAAGGCCTAAATTGCTTCAATTAAGATAACTCCCAAAGCGGTCTCCTTGAAAAGGCGTTTCCCGAGTAGTGGCTGGAAAGTTTTACACATCAAGTCTATCCCCCTCTCTCGCCTCCCCCTCCTCCCCTGTCCGACTTAATCCTTACCTTACCAAGTAACTTCCATTAACGTTTTGAGGAAATAAGTTGTTTGATTTTTCAAAACGGGTGGTTTCCGGTTTCATGCCCAGGTGGAAAGGTGAATTGTTGGTATTTTAACATTTTTAGTTCACTTGGTTACTGCTTTTTCTCCACATTGAATTCGAAAAGAATCTTTTTTGTGGTTTGATAACCAAAACGTTTGGTTGGGGCATGAATATTCATGACATACTACTTAAGTGCTACTCATTTATACTTTTCTTTTTCCGGGTTGTGTGTAGCCTCGTGGACTGAGCGTGGATCTGGTGTGGTGCATGGGTCACGCTCTGTTGAGTGGCCTGACCTTCTTTTTGCTGCACTGGCAGTACCTCCTTCCCCCAGCCTACCTTGATCTTCTCCATCGCTGTGCTCTCCATCTGGGCAGTTGGCAGGAGCTCTCACCCACCGCTCACTCCGGCTACCTCAATTGGCAGGCCTGGTCGCAGCTACAGGTATGCGTTTTCCCCATTCAGTCACTCAAATCTCTAGCTTGTGAGTTCTCAACTGGAAAGCTTGATTGTAGCTCTAGATATATTTTTCGCTCCTCGGATCTATTTCTCACTCGAAACTACTGAATCCTTACTTCAGTAGTACTCCTGTCGTCCATAATTTTGTGCTGATTTTTTATTGATCATAATCGGACTTGTGTGTTTCCTACGGCCACTTTTTGATTTTCCTCCTTAAGTAGTATCCTTAAACTTACCTCGACGTCTGGCATTATAGATTTCCAGGTGACTATGCATGGTTGTTAATCTTCATGTTACTACTACTGAAACGACCTACTTAAGTAGTATGTGTTATCTCATAGGTTTATGATATTTTAATTAATTTTGGAGATAAACACTCCAGAATTAGATGCGTTATATTCAAGAGAGCCCTCTTTTCTTGAAAACAACTTAAAATTGTAGGGTTCACTAATGCGCGTTACTCGTTTTAGGTCTTAAAGTGTACCTATTTTTTCTTTACCTCTCATGTTCAGTTATAAGAACTTATTGTCCCTTGTGCGACTTTCTCACCGACTGACTTGTGCTGAGGAATGAATTTTTGTTTTTTCTGATGTTTCTTAAATGGAAGAAAATATGATTGGTTATTCCTGAACAATCCATTCAATGCCCACTCCATACCTTTAAGATCGGCATCTCGTTATCTCTGACAAATTATGGCTAGAGTTTTTCTACTCAGTGCAGTACAACCCCAAAGTGTGCAGGGACAGCTTAATCGAAATCAATCAGAAGAAATTCCCAGTTTGGGTTTTTTAAGACAACACGCAATCTCATACCTCTTAAGAAAACCTAAACATGGAGGCAGAGGTACCGCCACCTTCACACTCTTTCTGCTGTTTCTCTGAGTGATCATCACCTTTTTTGACACCAATCATTTCAAATAAAAAAGTGCAATAAAAACTTTTTACTTAAGCGTCAGCGTTATCTCTAAAGAAATTCCCATTTAAATAACGTCGTAAATCTTCAATCCCTGGACGTCTTTGAGGAATCCGGAGGTAGAGAGTGTGGTGAGGGCATGGACACTACCAAAGTATTGGACTGCGTATCTTTGAATGTATTAATAACCGTTGTTTTATTTTCCTTTTTTTAAACACCATCATTCACAGACGTACGCAAAGGGCGTCCACGTGAAGCATATCCGTGGACTCTTCCAAGCCGTGGGTGCCTCTAACGCTGCCGAACCGGGAAATTCTTCTCATTCAAGACTCTTTGTGAGTTGTCCCTCCTCCCAGCTGTGTGGCAAAATCTTAGCTAGAGGATTAGGTGCATTCAGAAAAGGGATAAAGTTGCCTTTTATAGGTTACCGGTCAGCTTCAGTAAAGATTAGGAGGATTTGGATTTGCACTTTGGAAGTGTTTTACGACATCAGAAGGACCGAACTCTAAGAAACTACAGAAAATCGTCCTCTCGAAGCTGCATTGCCAGCGTAAATAAATTGGCACTTCACTTAAAAGTCGTTCAGGCCCTTAAAATAATACAAAAGTACAAAGTTGCCCATATTTGCGGTTTTGGCTCTCTTCACCCTTACAATGAACTACTAATATTGATGTCGTAAGCTGATCCCTATGGCTCTAGCCAAATAAGTAGTGTTTGCGTGATCCATTTGACTCTTCACATTTTTTTGAATAGTGGGGTCCAGACTTCAATTTTTCTGGCTAAATTAGTAGTATATGACCAATCTTGACAACAGTGGTGACCTAACTGGTCACGTTAACGTGCTTCTGCAAGTAGTGCAGGTTTTAAGTAGTAGTATGCGTATTTTTCTAGTTCTGGTTCTCCTCGCCAACGCTGGTGACCAATGGGTTGTGCTACACGGCCGTGGTAATCTCTCTGGGTCAGATGTGCACACTGGAGTGGACCTTCGAGTGGTACAAACTCCTCGGTCTGGCAGCGATGAGTCCCTTCGCGTTGCTCAACCTCTACCGCCTGTTGCGCAATCGCACCATCCTCTCATGGGTGTGGGAGGATGAGAGACCCATCTACGAGACTATCCCTGGCTCTGTCACCTCACTCAGGGCTTGAAATATCTCCTCCCCTCCTTTGACCAAGTACATACACATTCTTGTTCCTGATTGGTTTTATTTGAATGGGTTGATTCCGAGGGACACGAGGGTGAAACATTGGTCCCAATTTTTTCTCCCGGTTTATTCGGATTTTTCAGCCCTCGGACCATATACGCTTGACTTCCTCTCCCACACTGAGTTCACTAGGTCAGGTGGTGCATTTGCTTTGAGCTGATTGGTCAGCTGGTCGGTTTGCGTATGACCCGCTAACCAGGTGACCAATAGTGTGTTGAGCTCGTAAGAAGGCGGTTTGACACATTTTTGGCCTTCATTAGAGGTTTGCCCTAATCTCTTGGCTGTCTGATGACCCAAATAGTCATCTATCAATTTGGGTTTAAATTCACCTGATGCTTTACCCTAAGGTAACCTAATCACTGAGGCTTGAGTCTGCCTCTCGCTCAGGTTGTCTAGTCAGCTGTCATATTAATTGCTAAGTGACAGTCAGATTGTGTCATCTACTGTTACTTACTTGATTTACGCACGATCCAGCAGCACTCAACTTGTAGGGGGTTAAATTGCTGTCGCTTTTCTCCCCCACTAGTCAATGGTCGTCAATTTTCGCTCTCACCACCACGTCAACTGATTTATTTGAATATTACTGTCAGTAGACAAGTTAATCAAAAAATTGTAGGTCACATTTCAGCGTAAAAAGTTCCAATCAGCTGGCCCATCTGTGCTCCAGGCAGCAGTCAGTCGGTTAATTAACTCTGCAAGCACAACTTAACTTCAACCGACTGTCTGCTTTGACATGAGTCAGGCAACTCAGGTTGTTAATCTGCATTGATGTGGAGATGAGTAAATCATTCAGGTCATTTATTTTTCCATGTTTTTTAATATCTTCCATTGAAAAAGAAATATTTAAGGCGTTGATCATAACCGGTTTGTCAACAAAAGCCACCTCTTCTTCCTCCTCCGTCCCCCTTGCCATTATTGATGAGCGGATGGACGCAACAGGTCAATTGACTGAACCGCGCCCGAGTCTGTAGTCATGTGATCAAATAAGTCAACAGCGAGTGGGATCGTACATGACTTCCCCTTCTTCTTCTTTTCTCTGCACTTCTCCAATTTTTTGTGTAGATGTGCTGTTTCTGCTTTTGCCTTTTAATATTCACGCTGGAGGGAACATTTTGGGTTTTTAGCTGGCTTGCCATCAGAAACGCCAACGTTAATGGATATTTGTCATCTCTTTTTACGTTTCGTCTAATAAGAAGTTTTTTTTTTAAATTTACTGCGTTTATTTGTGTAAAATTGTAATTGGAAATTAAGGAAATTATCCAGTACTGAGGCTTTGGCCACAGATTGCTTATGCGTGTTTGAGGAGTTAGGATAGTCTTTCCGACCAAGCAACTCTGCCAAAACTCTATTTCTGAGGTAAAAAAAGTAAGGAATATATTGTAGCCTTATTAGTCTCCTAAAATCCAAGAAACGCATGCCAACTGTCTCCTGTTCGGCGCTTGGAATGACTCCTCAAAAAGGGGCGAAGGTGATTCCACTGCCTCCCAAATCGACTATAGAGGCGGTGCGTGCAACCCGTTGCCTGGTAACACCCCAAACAATTGGCTCCCTAATTTGGCAACACTTAGGACTGCTCTTCTAAGGCGCCTTCTCTACGATATGTTTGCCCCACTAAGGAATGGTAAGCCAAGCTATGCCAAGTTGGCAATTAACCTGTCCTCATTAAATTCGTCCTCTACTCCAATTTCTTTTTCTCCCCAGTCAGTTAGTAATTTGAAGTTTTTTAAAAAATAGAAAGGCCTACAACTTATTGTTTTTTTTTCGAAGCTGCTGTGAAGCTGCTTTCTGTTTTATGCCGTTGCGGAAAATAACCAATTTCGTGAAGTTACTTTCGTTGGTTTTTTAATCAAAAAGGCGATAAAAGCATTCCCCCATCACAATGAAGGTGGTCAAAGAAGGCGGGTCAGGTTTTTCGCGGCACTCGCTGCTCCGCACCCGTTGTTGTTGCTGCTGCTCCATGTCTCTCGTTTTACTACTTTACTCTCACGTTGAACTGTCAATCTTTCAACCACCACCTCTAGCGAGGCTTATGTGTCTCGAGATCGTCTGCCCCTTGACGAATGAATCTGTTTAATCTGATTCTCCAGTTGTTCAACTCTCTCGTCAAAATTTTTGTCTTCTATGTGGTAGCGGAGAGTGCGTTGTGTGGCAATATAAATCGTTGAGGAGAAAAGACTAATTCGTTTGACTCAGTTGAAGATGAGGGAGAGAAGAGTCTTTACTTTTGCTTAGAACGAAGGAGGACGTGTTGTTGCCGATGCAAATAACTAGAGGTAAGCGCATGAACAGCAACTGCCAATCATTCCATGCTAAGCGTTTGTAGTAATGCGACTGCCTATTTGCGTCACGTTGAATTTTAGTGATGTTTTGCCTCCAAATACATTCAGATTATGACGAAAGAAGAACGACACAGACATGCGTCAATCCATTTGGCAATCCGGTTTGAAAGACACGGAAGGTTTTTGTGTTTGGAGTAGATGTGGTATAAATCACTGAAATGTGAATGCCTCCCACTCAGGAAGACCCTCCGTTCTCGATGCTTACAGTCCCATCCTTCGCCCGATTCGAAAATAACATTTATGTTAGGCCTATCAACTGTTCGGATTTCACTCGTGGCAACAGTTAGTAGATTAGTACATTTAAGAGAAGTCGAGGACTTTTTCTGTTAGCAGTAAAATGAATTAACTACCTCCTGTGACTTTGAATATTTCAACAGTTAGTCGGGTTTTGGCGAAGAATTCATCTAAGTACTTGAACTGCAAATAATGCTGCTTTGGTATGCATAAGTCCTTCCAACTAGCATCAGATAGCACGAGATTTTTTAATAAAAAAACCAGCGATCCTTATCACCCTCTTTTACTTTGTATTCTCCCTTCCCCACTGCGGCAATTGCCACTATTCGTTGTGACAAGGTTCCAACAATTTCCCCCTTTTCCGGTGGGTAGCGGGTGGACACAAATCATGATCTAGCAAAGCCCTAAAAACATCTAACGCCCAATCACAATTAAGCTGAAGCAAAATCGATCCCTACGGTGTTAAGGTTTGAGTAGAGGGAATGTTCTAGGGTGAAAAAACGGGTCATTTGTCTACATTAAGGTGAAAAATCCAATAATTACTTGCAAATTTTGCTTCTCTAAAGTCCGTGTCTTCTTAATAGCACAGAACACCAATTACTGGTTTTGCGTAGACTGTAATCGACTCAAAAATAATTCCTAACTTGACTCCAAGTTGGCTTAAGATAAAGACTTTGACATCTTTAAGTCGTAGCCATGCAATGGAAGTAATTGTGAAAGAATTGTGTCAAAAAGTGCCAAAAATTAGAGGCACGCTCTGTAAATCAGTAGTCTCATTATTCGTAAGTGGCGTCGTAATGTTGAAAGGGTGAGTTAAGCTCCATCCATGCCATCAGTTGGGACAGTAAATGATGATTTTAACAGCCATCTTTTTCGATTCCTCTCTACACCAACAGAATCAGCTGTTTGGCTGCGCACGCGCCAGTGAACAGCTGATAAAAATTGAAAAATCGATAAACCAGTCAGTCAGCTGTTTAAACTGTGCTCATTTAAGTGCATCAGCTGATTGGTTGTGGTAGGCGACACGTGATGCAATTAGCGAGATATTCAGCAAATTTGCAGGTTTTTTTCGCTTTTTTGCGGTCTTTTGCTTGTAGCCATTCAATATTACGCATTTGTGGAGCTCTTCAGACCCTTTTAACAGGAGAGAGCTGTAAATAACCTAGAGAGGAGGTATGAGAGACCATAGGCATGATCGGAGGAGAAGACCTCCTGTCAAGGCGAAGTACAACTTTCATAGATTGCAAAGCCTTTGTGGCAAGCAAACGACCATCTCATCCACGCTCACACTGTCTACTTTAGTTGACCTTTATCAAGAGGAAACCTCATGCCCTTTTTAAAAAATACAATTTGTGACAAATTTGGATGAAATCTGTTTTGAAGAGTGACTTTATTTCACCACCTGCAATTAGAGGTACATCTTAGTGTTTCCTTCAAGCCAAGTAGGCACGCTACTTGCCAAAAGCCTAGCAACGCCCAAAACGCCCAGGTGACGCCCACTCTGAATATAGGTTTTGCCAATACACTGAGTGTTACTATGGTGACGACGATTAAAATGAGGAGATTTTAAAGTATTGTTGCTCCGCCCAGTGGCGATAGTCTCCCTCCTCAATATTGGGGTGGGTATGAGTCACCGCTATTGGTCTTTGCACCTGGCCAATTTCAGTGGCGTTGGATAAGATGGATGCCAGGAGTGGTCCAATAGGGAAGAGTGATTAAATGTGCCCCCTTCTCTTAGAGTCTAAAAGTTGCTTCCAAATAGGAAATCCCCCTTATTGCTGCCTGTCACAAAGGCCACCTAGGCTTTAATTGTTTTGGCGCCTTAGCAACAGCGATTCAATTAGATTATATTAAGAGCTCAAACGATTCGCTTTTTGCTTAAAAATAGTAAAATATGAATCTATTTTAAGTCAACAATCACGCATTTAGCGTGTTTGTGTATGGTGTCAAAAATGTACCAAAGTGTTTTTTGCCAGTTTATCAATAACTGAGCCTCCATCAGGATGGTGTGAGATGGACGTGAGCTGTTCCAAGTCTTGAAGAAAATTACCTCCAGGACAGGATTTTAATGGTTTATATTGTTTGATACTTCCGTTGTCGAACCATGGTTGCTTTAGTTCCGCAAAATATTTAGTGACCATTTCAAAGCTCCTACGAGTTAGTAGTTCAGCCGCAGGAGAAGGCCAAAGCTATGAGTGGATTTGCATTTCATCCTACCGCTCCCACTTCGCCAACCGTTTCTGCGTTCGAATGGCCAACATAACCTTGTCATTCCCTGGTATGTTTCACCAATGGGATGCAAACAAAATGAAGTACAAAAACAAGCATTTTGGTGATCAAACGTGACTGCATTCATTTCATATATTCTTCAGATGGCTTTGACACCTTCGTTTTAAGTCCTGTCATTTGTTAAAGCATCGATTGCTACTTTAAAAATATAAAGGGGAATCCGGAGGCTGATATGCGAAATAAGTTAAGCCAATAAAGAGGACTGAATTTTGGAAATCGCTGTATTTAAATGTGCCCCATATTTGTGGCTGGATAATACAAGGAAATTGGGGCGTATATGTGGCGTTGGCAACGAATGTGTTTATCGGGCATTCGGCTATGCAGTCTACCGCGATGGTGGTGGAGCGACTTGCTAATTGTCCCTTAGCCAAGCTTTCTACACCCGGATACCTTATAACTTCTTCCGAGACGCCTCACTCTCATAAAGACACGTAATTTCACAGGGTTCTGCTGCACCCTTCGTCAAAACCCACCTCCAACACTGCAAAGGCGAATGAGCCAATAGAGCAGACGGTTGGCGTTGCAAACGACGCGCGATCTGCCTGTGAACCAATGGGCGCCCTGCGTTCCGCAGTTGGGCGAACGAATGAGTGAGCAAGTAAGCCTCGCTCAAGCGTAGGCGTTGGTGAAGGCGAATAAAAGGCGCTCCCCTCGCCGTCCCCAACCGGTATGGGCGTCTGCTGCAGCAGGTGAGTTGGGAGGTCAAGCGGCTGTGTTGAAACTTTTCGGTGCTCCATTTCTCTGTTTCAATTAATTCAAACGTAAATTTGAATTCAAATTTTATTAACTAACAATTGGCGAACAGCCTAATTGGTCTAGAAAAAAATTGGAGGGTCTTATATGATTATTTCCTTATGGTCCATATACTGATTGGTTTTTACATAAATTTTCGGTTTGAATGTCCTTAAGGTAGGATTTTGTAAAAACAACCATTCCACTTCTGCGATATTCCATTAACAACGTAACCACCTTAAAAGGCACCCAAATTTTTGAATAAATCACTCTCACATCCATAGATTTAAAAGTGGGACATGAGGGCAACCACATCTGCCCTGTCCCGGTTGTCATGGCCCAGATACACGATCACCCTCACTTCAAATGTAAACAAAGCCACCTCCCATACACAAGTAGACCAGGAATGAGAAAATCCCTCCAGACACACCGTCATACTCATTTATTGGCAAACAAACCGATACGTACGGTTACAAATAACAGCTTTGCTTTTTAAAACCTTCCTTTCGTTTTCAGACCCCGCCCCAAGAGGACCCAGTACTCTACATGCCAATGGAAAACCGCCTCGAACCAAACCAAACTCGAACATGTGCAGACTCCTAAACCCACCACTCGCCATCATCAAAGAGCTGTGACTTTGTACAAAGTTTGAGGAAACCAACTTTCAGATTTCCGTCCAGTGCTTACCGGGTAACCAAAATCATATCAATTGCACATAGGAAAAGACTAAAATTGATAAATTTCAGAAATGCTACTATTCCTCGCAATGAGTTTTTAAACAGTAGAAATAAAGAAAACAGCTACGTCGGCAGCAGTTTGTTTATTTGTGTCCTTTATTTAAGGGCCAAATAGAACGTATTCCAAGGTCTCTACCTCCAAAATAAGTCCCAAATGCACAAAAAGGGCGCACTACAAATTCATATATAGGTAGCGTGTGTATTTACACATCCAGAAGGAAAGAACAGCGCGCACTCAAGTAACAAAGGGCGTGATATGCTACTAAGGAGTTAATGAGTAGCAAGTATTTACACCTGTTCAGTGGATGCTTCAGTAACGCGTCGATAGGCGAGATCGGCAGCGGCCGATTTCGCCAGTCGGTATGTGCGTCCGACGCCCACGTATCGACCAATCCCAGCCACGCGCACCACCACTCGCATCTTCCCGTCAGGGCGCACCATTGGCCTTCTAGAATTAGCAAATAATTCACTCCTCTTATATGCTAGTCGGTAGAATCGTTTGTTAACTGGAGGCTATGATAGATTGGGCAAAGCGGTGAATTGACCGCCCAGAATAGTTCCCAAATGCTAGGCCTTTACTCACAAAAAATGACCTGCAAAGCATGGAGTAAAGAGGGGGGGACCTACTCGAATTTGACGCGTTCTGGACATAGTTCGAGTAGACGACGAACTGGCGACTTGGCCACACATGTGGAATACCGTTCTGTAGATTAAAAAGTGCGCGGTAACGGGTGGACAAACGGGTCAACAGACAGACAAGGAAGTGGACGAAGGTGGTGGGGAAGGTAAAGAGAAGGGAGGAAAGCGACGGGCAGCCAAGTAGGTAGAAAGGCAGGGAGGCGGACAACTAGACCGACGTACCGATGCGCTCGCGCAGCAAAGGGAAAAAGACGCGCCAGAGAGTGTTGAGGCAGAGACCTGAGTCGAGGAAGACTGCCCCAGCGAGCGACTCAAAGACGTCGCCCAGGGCTTTCGGCACCTCTACCTCCTCGTTCGCCCGCTGCAAAGCATAATGCGCACAGCATTCATTCTCCGCTTCAGCCTCACCGTTACGGGATACGGCATTGAACGGGAAATTGGTCTGTTTTCAAAGTTAGACTTTCCAGACACACATTGCGTAGTCAATTTCAGCGGTATGCCTTCTATTCATGAATAATCAATGAAAAAGGTCGGAAGGGCGGTACTACTTATATTCCATTTGAGCGACATCATCAGGGATGCCAGCAGATGCGCCCTCGACACACACTTATATTCCAATTTAGCAACACCAAACACCCATGTCTTACGCATATATTCTACTTGTTTTGATCTAGCAGGAGCACTACAGAGGTCGAAAAGCAGGCTCACTTCTCTTCGGGGTGATGGGGCAAAGAAAAACAATGACTTTTTGCAACACAAATACTACTCATATTATTTTAGCGACCCACATAATCACAAAAGGGGGTTGTGGATGATCGTTCTAACTTGGTTAGTAAATTTTCTTGGATCCCAAATACATAGTCCTACGTAAGTTAGAAGCAAGTGGTATATGTCTAGAAGACTGACGTCTGGCGATGGATAACAAGAATGAGCCGTAAAAAGAAAACACGTGACTTGAATGAACAATAGCCTGCTGACCCGTAGCCATGGCTACCATATACTATTTGTCAGTGCAAGAACAATGAAAGAGTGGAGATGACAGAGCGCAAACATATAATAGTCCGATTTCGTTTGAGATCTACGGTATTATTTTAATCGAAGCCCTCAAATGAACAGTCCAATCAACGGCTAGACGATAGAGGAAGTGAAAACTACCACCATCCATTGGCGAAGTCACCTCCGACTAAAATTGAATTTAACCACGAGATAACGGAGACGGTGGAAATCAAAAAAACTCCAGTCGACTAGAGGATTGACCAATCATTCTCCCAACTTACGTCGCCTTCAGCTTGGGATGCAGTCGCACCTTTGTTCTCCCGGCAAACATTAACTTCCTGAAAAGAAATCAAAGAAAAAATACAAGAACAAAGTAGGTAGAAGAAATGAGAAGGAACGTTGGCAGAATGAGACGTAGCAAAATCCTAAAATTTACTAGCACTTTTGCACATGACAGAAAAGTCAAAAAGCAGTTGAGGGGACTGTGACAAGTAAAGTGGAGGATATTCCAGCAGAACTGGTAAAATTTATAACAAGAGATGACGAAATACTCTGGGAGCTAAAATATCGCCCACACAACACCTAAGACTTCCAACAACAAAACCACAAAAAAGAGGAGGGAGGTGAATCTCATGACAGAGACAGGACGAGCTTACCGGAGCAATGAGCACGTCGAGGTCACCACGAACGACGTCGTGGTGGTGACGCAGAAAGAGCGCCATCGTTCGAGTGAGAGGCGGAGCTGCAGCGCGTAGAAAAGCATGCAACCCATGGCGCACTGCCAGCGCACCGAAGACCACATTATTGACCAGTGCCGAGCGTAGATCGGTCAAGGCGCCGGGCGAGAGGCGGGCGGTGGCGTCAGTGGTGAAGAGGAAACGTGTCACCGCATAGTCTAACACCGCATCGCCCAGGAACTCTAGGCGCTCGTAACCTCCACTGATGCTAGTAGCACTGCCATGAAAACCGCCGTCATCGTCCGACGGAGGTCCGTGAAGATCACGGCAGGTGGAGTGAGTAAAGGCCTGTGTGAGTGGAAGGGGGGGAGAGAAGAAGTTACTTCTGAGTTCCTTACGTAACGATAGTAAAGGCTACTAATTTGCTCACTTCGATAAGGAGTCTGCGATTTTTGAAGGTGTAACCGATGATCTCCTCCAGCTTAGAAAATCGGCCGGCACGGTAGACCCTTTCAACGGTAGCTTCTTCCACCTTCGATAGCGGCTTTTCTTCAGCCAGTTTCCATGGTGATCCCGCAGGTTGCATCTCACCTAAGAGAAAAAAAAAACGCAAAAAATTTGATCATACCTTTTCAATTTAAGCAGCACATTTACACATCCAAATTATCAATTCAGATCTAACAAGGAATAATTTTTTTCATTTGCGACTCAAACGATGTGTGTACTGGCTTGCAAATGATTCATCTTGGAAGGTGATTTTATTTTGAGAATTTGATTGTATCTATTGCTGTTAAGCAGCGTATAAAAACTGGTAGTTTTATGAAGCAAGCAATAAGTGTCAACATTACAATAGCCAACTTTCATGCAGTGATAGCGGACGAACCTGCAGGTGGGAGGCATTCGATGCCGAACCACTGCAGAAGTTTCAAAGCAGATCGCTCGCCACGTTCGGTGAGATAGCAACCGACCAGTGATTCCACGCAGTCGGCAACAGACTTGTTGGTCAAGAATTGGTGCGTCAACGAAGGGCACTGATTCTTTATTCTAAGCACAAAACAGGGCGCATAGGATGCCTACCACTCAGAGCACATAAGTAGAGGCAGTACATATACGGATTTGGTTCATTAAGAATAAGGAGGCTTCGGCCAAAAATTGGAAACGAAATATTTTATTTGCTTTAATAAATTTAGGAAGATGTTTAAACAATAAATGCATATTTGCCATTCTCCTATCTAACCTAAAGGAATAAAGCGCTCACTTTCAAATATAACTTGGAAACCTTAGTTCTTTCATTAAAAAATTGGCTCCAAAATGACACTGACATAAAATCTATTTCTCAATTTGGCAGATAAACGGGATTCCTGTTTTTTAGGAGGCGTGGCTCAAAGACGACATCAAGCGTACAAAGGTACACCAACACAAAGCCAAAATAAAATATCAAAACGAAATCGAATTCATAACAATTCCTTTAAATAATACAGAGCGCGGCAGTGTAAAGAGAACACCAAAAATGCACGCTTATTGTGCGAAAATACGAGCTACTGAAAATAATCAAGTAGAAATGTTATTTTACCTGGTGGAGGCAATATTATTTGTCGGATCGGTGGTGCAAACGTAGCAGGGCGGCAACCAATTTTCGTGTGGCTCAAAAGCCACCCCCACGATTCGTCCAGGCAGATTTTTCTCACATCCAAGTCGATAGAGATTCGAATTACCAACCTGCGAAAGTGCATGGCTTAAGTAAAAACAGCTAAAAAAACGTACAATTTGACTTCTCAACGAGCTTAGGTGACCCTCGTGAGCTTCAGGGTATCGCAAAAATAAATCCATGGTAACAGCAAACTTCAAAAAACTGTCCCCGATCGTTTCCAGCCTTTCCATGTTGATAAAATCACCTGCCCCCAGCAGCGTCAGCGATTGCAAGATCATTGTAGGTCCGGGTTTGTAAACTATTTGCCCCTAGAAAAAAGTCAAGTCCACTCAAGTCCAAAAGGCAGAATTTACCTTTTCATCTTCGCCTTCGTCATCATCTTCGGATGGGAAAAAACACATGTTTGTGGCGTTCTCCTCAAAACTGTCTATACTTTTCGCATCCACCTCCTCTTCTTCCTCTTCCGCCTCTGGGTCTAGGTCCCCCTCCCCATCGGATTCCAGCCTATCGGATTCGTAGAGAAGGGCCTGAAAATCGGTGGCAGGATTGCGAGGTTTAGATTGGATTAGGGGAGAAAGAGTTAGTTTGACGACTTCAGGTTCTGAATCTCGATCCTCCGGATCCCTCTGTTTCTTATAAGATGGTGGTGGTGATGGAGACGGCGACGGCGATGGTACTTGTGGTGTAAAGTAACAGCGGAGAGGTGGGAAGCAGAACCGATGTGGGGGCGTAACGACTCCCAATCCAGTCTCCCGCGCGATTTCTGAACGCAGTTCTTCCGCAAGCAAGAGGTGCTGTAGGCGGTAGAGAATGCTAGGCAGACAGATCGCCTTTTGCCAAACTGAAAAAGAGTAAAAAAGAATAGAGTTTTCAGGACAATTGCTACTAAAATAGGAAATTAAGTAGTTTTAACGCCAAGTCCTACGCTCACTCACCCGGCTGCAAGTAATGGCCAAGCAGCCAATTAGTAGCCCTATAAGGATAAAAGCATAAAATTCAGCAGGTCAAGCCCTTAAGAACACCAAATTGGTGAGGATACATGTTTTCATGCACGCTACTTAAACAAAGGACTCAGTAGCGCTTGCTCTGGTCCCAATACTCAAGCCACACTGACAAGGAGTACAGAATTCACAACTGTCGATTCAGCAGCAAAGTAACGAGAAGATATTAAACAGAGAATTACGTATTTCTGAACCCCGACCGTTGTAATTCAGCCAAAAACATTCTACTTAAACGGGAATAGGGTGGACAATGCCCTACTAAAAAAAGTGCCACTTAAAAGAAAAATCAAGTAGTTTTGAACCCCAAAAACTTAGTACTTAAACCTCTACCTCGGCAGTTCCATAGCAAAACTTATACTAACACCGATAACAAACCAGAAAAGCCCTCACCAGTGGCAGGCATAGCATGGCGATGGCAGAACTCAGGCACCAGGAGTTGTATGTGCCGGGGTAGGACATGTTTGGAAGTTGAGGTGGCGTTACCGGAGGCGACACCGTTGTTCGATTTTCGCTGGGCAACACAGCCTCGCGGCACTAGGAGAGGAGCAAGGCGGAGAGGAGCGTAGGCGGCGTCTAGCAGCGGTTGGTCCGACGGAGCTCCACTTAGACGCAGCCCATACTTACATGCGTAGTAGTCCGCGAAAGTGGCGTACTGCGGTGATGGGAACTCTGTGGCTGGAGACAGATCATTTCTGCGAGGAAATGCACACATGTAACTCGTTCCAGCTCTTTGGTAGATGGAGCTGACTCCCAAGCCCTAATTGACTTCTCCATTTAGTAATGGAGAAGGATATCTCATCTTATTCGGGCATTTCAGTAACCTTAAGGGAGAAAAGCCATTTTGTTCAGGCCAGATCACTGAACTTACATACTAATTGACTGTTTAGTCGACGAAGTGGAAATTCAATAATTCACGTATAACGATGTTCTCTGGATTGAGCCAATGAGGACATATACTACTCATACTGGTTTTTTGGCAGTTGGGATTGACTTGTGAGCTGCCTACAATGCCAACACTAAATACCTTTCAGTAGACGATGGAGAAAGCAATTGTTTAACGAAGGAGAGATGCCTTCTTCAAACCAGGCTGGTGAATGTGCATGCTACTTATGTGAGTTTTGAATAGACCCCTTAGCCAGGTGAAGAAAGTAAGGTACATCACACTACTGAAGGAGAATACAAGTAGACAAGCGGAATACATTCAAAGTAGCAGCAGGAGCGCAGCTTTACAATGAAACAAGTTATTATCAAGCCAACAACCTAGATGCTGTGTAAGTAAAGAGTATAAGAGGGCGCACCTAACAGCGACAACGTAATAGCGCGGTGGATACTCCACGTTGCGGTAGGTTGGAGTGAGGACAGCATTTACAAAATCGTCCTGAACAAAATGAAAGACGGTTCGAGGGCTGGAAGTTTGCGAGAGTAATTGCGTCAGGGGCACTGGTCCAGTGGGCAGCTGCAACGGCGGAGCGGGGCGCCTACGGACCGGCAGTCTACAGTCACCGACTGAGGCGACATAGGAATTGAGACAGAGGTTCACGAGATCCCAATCGATCTTCTGGCTGTCTGAAAGAAGAATCACAAGGATAACCAGTGACTCCTTTTTCTCTTGTGGGCTAGGGGGAAGCAAATTCGTTCATTTGGCACCATTTTCAGGTGTCAGAAATCAAGGAAAGTGGAGATTTTAAGGATAGCTAGATTGCTGAACGGTATAGAATAGGAACGCGGCAGATTTTAAACAAAGAGAGGATATCAAAATTACTCGACAAAATTCAACGAAAACTTTCAACTGATAACGCGAACAAAGTGGTACCTCGTTTCACTGGCACAATAAGAAGCTGACAGGGTGCATCGACCAGATTGAACTTCAACAAACAGTCCTTTTCGAACCGCAGTACCGACTACAAAGAAGTAACCGGTCAGAAAATCGGAGGCGAAACATCGTCACTTACCTTGAAAATGATTCTATGGAAACGCGAGAGTCTATTGAGTTGATCAATATTCAGAGGGGGACAGGAGGAGGCCTCATAAATATGCACCGTTTCCTCACCCGAACGAGTGAATATTGAGAACTCAGGGATCTGAAATTGAATTCATACGCAATAACCACCTCCCGCAGGAGACAATGAGAAGAGGTTAAAATGTCCACTAACAAATGGAAGGGGTTTTGTGGTGAGCATTGCGAAGCCCCGATTCTCTGCCTCGGGGAAGAAATCGATGTGGGAGGAGGTCCCCTGACTCCTGTGTTCACGTTGCAGGCGACTCAGGGCGGTGTCGAGGTGACGAATGTCGACAAGATAGAGACGATTCTGGCCTATGGATCCTCTGTCCTCTTTAGCAAGACACTTGACCAATGAGTCCGGAGTCTATAATAAGAGAGGCTTGGTGAAACACACCCAGTTTTATAGCCACGCAACTCTTATTCAATTATCTACTTGACTACACGGGCTCCTCGTGTTATCCTTATTGTACGCTAGTGGAAAACAATACGAGCATATTAAATAGGAATGACATGAGCACTACTGACTTTAATTAAGTAGCTCGATTTATGTTTAGGAGGGGAGCGTTCGCGGGTAGCACGCAAGCGGCGAGAGGCTGCGGCGACAGCGGCTATCGGTGTGTGGCGGAGGATGGGGCGTCCACGTGCATCGATTTCTCGCGTCTCCATCAACAATTGACCCACGCGCACAGCAGCGGAGTATTTGGCCATTTTCTTACACAGTGACCACTCACTCTGTAGGTAGAAATCAACTTCAACCAACCAGCAGCAAGGACTCAAATTAAAGGAAGAGCTTAATGAAATGGTGGATATGGTAAATGGATCCCACTCATACGCCAGAGATGGCGAAAACTCCAAAGATTATCTATTTGCTGTCCTTACCTACCTTTACGCACATCATAAAATGTATCAGATATGCGGCAACGCGTATTAACTCACCTTAGATGGGATGGAAAGGAAGAGAAGAGGAGATATGGGAAATGAAATGATATGACAATATTGAATAAAGATTCCGAGGGTCACTGGATCCAAGCGAGCCAAGCATGCGGTCAAATTCCAAGTAAAACACTCACCCAAACCACCTCACGGACGGGTGAGTTAATGGGCATTTGCAGAGCGCAGCGATAAACGATCATGTTGCTCGCGGTAGCAGCGTGAGAGGGGTCAGGACAGGTGAGAAGGGCTGTGTGATCCCCACCCTCCACTGCCCCTCTTGAATCGGCTGCCAGTCGGCGCGTAGTGAGATGCCAGCGCGGCGCCAAACGCGTCATGAAATTGCAGGGCAGGCGAGCACAATAGTGATTCACCACATCTATTGCCCGACATGCCTTTCTCTGCGGCAGGAAAGGAGTTCTACCTATTACATTTCAGCGGACTATTTATTTTCCACAATCACAAGCTTAATCTGCGTTAACTACCTTCTACAGATGCAATAAACTGTTTAAAAATAAGACACAGCCTATCTAAATCTGACAAATAAAGAGGAGTTATGCTTATACTTTTCAGTATATACCAACTAGACGATATGCTTTCAACAAAACTGCTTTCAAATCGGTGTCTTCGAATCCCCTTCAAACGAACCACGCGATGGAATAGTGATTCCTCAAGACAAAATATGTGTGACTCGTTGGCAGCATTGGCACTTTCAAGCTCGCAATCCAGCATAAATTGCTCATTGGAAACCGGTAGCAGTCACTTACTTTGGGGAGAAAAGTAAACTGCTCATTTACGTAGTCGGCGTCCACATCATGCTCATCAGAAATAAGGTAAGAATTGCTGCATCGTTGAACCAACATTCGCTCCATCTCTTGAAAGCTATAAATTCAGGAAATACGATATATTAGTCTATCCGGAAGGCAAATGGTTAAACCACAGTCCAATTCCCGGGCAGGCTGTCTCAAACCTAATACTATGTAATTTCTACAACCATTGGAAAAATTCGCCATGGTAATAGACAGCCTCCATTCACATCACTCCAGAAAAGGACAAAAAAACTAGCAACACTTAAGTACAATTGCATAAACAAAAAACTGCAATCATTGTGAGAAATTTCTAACTGTTATCATCTTAATAAAATACCCAAATTAGCAAGCACAAACCGAGTACGAAGGGAGAACCCATCGGATTCCAAGAAGTGCCAGAAGTGGGCTTTTGTGGATTTAACTGCAACCAACCGTAAACGAGATTTCGCCGCCAGGTAGGTGGCTAGGGAGGTGGATGGATGGAATAAAGCAATGAGATTGCACCGTGGAAGAGAAGAGGCAGCTGCCAAACCTGATTGTGTAGTCACGAGAAGATTCACTTCACCTCCACAACGAAAATTTGCCACTGTCTCCTCCTGTGTGCTGCCTACGTCCGCCGAAAGTGTCAGCGTTTTCACCTGGTCTACATGGGAAGATATCAATGCTACTTATTTTTTGTAAGCAGACATGATTTTACAACACGTGCAGTTTGGGGTAGGTAATAGTGAAAAAAAAACACTCATTTGACGAATAACTCTTTTATCATGCGCGAATCCCCACCAGATCTATTGTTCCTCTATCAGCCCGAAGATTTAGCTGTTTGTGCATTTAAGAGAGTCCCAACTGCGGCACATCCACCTCTAACTGCACCTGTAGGCAGTAGGGCGTACTTTATCTTGCCTCTACTAACACCGCAAAAAAATATGCAAACGACTCAAAGATATATCTTCTTAGCTTCTTTCCAAAGAAGAAATAGGTAAAGGACATCTACACCATGGAGCTGCCTTTGAAAGTGGAGTAACGGTCAATGAAAAGGCGGACACTAAGTCCGGCCACATCTCATGTGTCACAGCAACCAGGTTGATCTAGACTATATTATAAGGGAGAAGTAATCTACTGAAGTGGAATCAACAGGAGTGTAAGTTACCAGAAGCGCCAGGCACAAAGAAGTAGCCAGGACGAACAAAGGCAATTTCGGGGTCCCAATTGCAGTACTCCTCGATGAATCGGGGCAGCGCGTAGGCGGAAAACTGACACCCACCGACTAATAGAAGACCGCAAAGAGGAGGAACGGTGTTCTCCTTATCAGGGTTATCGGGAAGTACGCGATATACAAGACGGGAGCCGCCACGACTACCACGAATAACGGGGGAGCCTGGAGAAGAAGTGAGGCAAATGGCAAGAAAGTGGACAAATTACTGAGATGGAAATAAATAGGAGAAAGGAAAAGCGACTTACGTATTTTGTGAGGTCTCCAACATGGCTTTCGGGTGGACTTGCGTCGGATGCCCGAAGATAGACCCCTAGAAGAATAGTAACTTATAAACAGCTTAGATGACCAAGTAATAAGTAAAACCACGTTTGAAGCTCAGAACTCGGTAGCATGGAATGGAAACAAGGCAAAAAAGGGGAAAAAGTAAGGGGTCGGATAGGAAACTCATCCGCTGTAAAGCATTGTTCGGGTCTATGCAAGAAGACGTATCCAATGAAATTTCCCCATGAATTTTCCATGTAGACAAGGCCGCCTTAATCCTGGAGAACTTACGCATTTACCTTCTCTTAAAACCTTATCGTAACTGGACATCAATCTGTCATTTTCTCTGCCTCGCTGCTAGGGCTAAGTCACTAAAGCCAAACTTCATGATTGGTTGAGATGAAAAGTTGCCAGAAATATCAAAGGTACTACTTACATGACTTCAGAGAGGGGAACGAAACACCTCTACTAGTCTCGAACCCCAACTGATCAGAGCACAAAACACACAGCACTTACATTGAGACATCAGTAGCATCACTCTCCCCACCGCTTTCACCATCGTTGTCATCGGCGCTATCTTTACCATTGCTGTCATTATAGCAGGCATCTTTAAAATCATTATCATCCTCCGAGTACACAGAGTCGACGCCCGAAAATAGGGAGGAATCGTCATAACCTTCACCATAATCATCGTCCTCATCGTCATCTCCACTCATGGCTTCAAATCCGTGTGGAGCAACGAAACCGGAGGAAGTCGATCGACCACGTAGCCTAGATCTCCGTCTGCTACTGCTCCAACTACCGTGGGAGGTCAATCCACTACTTTCAGCATCAGAATCTGAACCTGTATCCTCACTGACGCCTTCCGTCCTCCACACCGCCTCTATCCGGTAGGATCCTGTTGGTTTCAGGGTTCGCAATCGATCCACCAATTGCAGGACTCGGGGTGATGCCAGGGTGCGTACCTCCTCTCTCGTCATGCAGCTATGGAAATAACAGTCGGCTCACGTCTTACAAAGGAGCAATATTGCAGAATTCTTCCTTTTGACTCACTTGTCGCAAACGGTTTGGAACAGTCGAGCAATCATTGACAGCTGAGTAGCTGTGTAGCGAAGAATTCGTGTCAGTAGGTCCTCTCCATGCTCAAGCTGTCTCCTAGCCTCCAGAATACTTGCCCTGGCCCGTTCCAGACGATATAAGTGACGCAGAAAGACCCGAGCGATGAGTGCTCCACAGTAGACACCCAAATCCTTTGTGATGGCTTCACATTGCGCCACAGACCGAAGGCAGTAGTAAGGAACATTGATGACACGTTGTCCTGTAGTGGCGACATTCTCCTCTGAACCAGTAAAGTCCACGTCACTGAGAAAATCGCGAGCCTCCACTAGAAGACGCAGGATTGTTCCACGAATTGAATGTTGATCATCATTATCACCATTATTTGTTGTATCTGGGGCTGGAATCTCCTCCTCTTCTGGCTGAGCACCAAGAGAGAGAAGGTTAATTAACTCTGAGGTTGTCTCTAGCCTACAACCCAAACGGTCCTCCAGTGAACAGATGTAGCGTTTGGCAAGGAGATGGTCGGAACAACCGACTGGAAGGATAGTGGAGGTTAGAGCAAGAATTCGATAGCTTGCGGAGGTAGAGGAGTAGAAAGACGGATCTCGGTTCCAAATATCCTCAATCTGATGCTCACTAAGAGGGTCTTTTGAGTACGGGAATAGTCGCTGGTAGGGATGGCCCGGTGATAGAACGAGTTCGCAGTCATCCAAGATAAGAAGAAAGGCTCTCTATAAAAAATGCAGTTACAGGAGGGCAAAAAACCGTACTTCATGAATGGAAAAGACAGGTTCTTCACCAGAGCATAAATTTGCAGCCGTTTCTGCAGACATAAAAATGACTTCCGTAGTGGTAGGAATTTTGGAGGAAGCGTCAGCAACTACTAAAACAGGGGTGTCGGTAACATATTTGAAGGTTTCGGCAGCGCTTTTGACTGAACTAGCATCCGAAATGACAATGACCATGCATTTTCCAGGATATTTGATGGCCATATCTCCGAAGAGTGTCTGAGCTACAAACTGCAGTGTCACGTCCTCATCTGTACAAATAATTGTGTTTCTTGCCTCTGCTGAATCCAGCAGATCAAGCTAAAATATTTAAAAATGCTTATTACAAAATGTACACAACTAATTGCAGGCCAAACTGGTACTAAGCTCACGTAGTAGGGTCGGGGCATGAAGTGATTTGGGGGAACATTCTCAAGAATTTTCCGAACAATGAGGTGCTTGCGAGGCATTATTGGATGGCAAAGGATAAGACTTTCAGGATATCTGGTAAAGGATTTTCAGAAAATTTGTCCCAAGAACCAGCTGATCAAATGCAGGAACACATTATACACACAAATGAACACATTTTAACTAATTGGTTGAGTAGGAAACAAATAAAACAAATTTGCATGTAACCAAAGGATGGATTTGGACGAATCTGGCTTAAGAAATTACCCATCAAGTAGGTGTGTGTGAAATAAAAGCCAGGCCAAGTTTTTTATTTGCAAAGGAAACTTTGATGATTTTAGTGCATGAAATATGCCTAAGCTAATTTATGCGTCAGATTTGAGTGCGGCTTAAAGCAAAGAAACCATTTATTCCCGAACACTTCAATTCTATTGAAAACGGTTATGCGTTACACAGTTTATCTGCATTGGAATCCGAATGACAGCTAAAGGACCGAGCCATTAATTCTTATCGAATATGAGCTATTTTAAATTACAACACAAGTACAAAAACTACCCCAAAAATAAATTGTTTTAATGAAACAAACCAGCTTGATTTTTCTAAAAACTCTGAATATCTACTGTGTGTACTCAAAATATACGAGATTGCTGTGGGTAAACTCATATTAATGACGCTTAAAAGGAGTAGGAAGCTACTAGTGTGGCTAGAAAACCATAGCGCTGTGCGTAAGTACAACCTACGGGGACTAGATTGCCAATGCAATTTGAAAAACATTAAAAGGAGTATAAGACTACCGTGAGAGAACCCGAGACTTCATTAGAAACAAATGAATATATACCATCGATATACAAAAGCAACTAGAAGCTACTGACATGATCAAATATTAGGCTTCCCGACAAGTCCCCATGCGGTTCCATACCAATATTGAGGGTTGAGCAAGCAAAATACATATTACACATCGCGCATAGCTCAAAATATTTCCATGGAAGGATTTTTCGCCTTTATTTGAAACCCATTAAGCCGTTTAGGTTGGTGTGTAGTGCAGGTTCATACCTTTTATTTGGTCAATGTATGCGAACACTGTAGCTGTACGTATGTTAGCGGCCTCTGAGCAGAAAACAAACCTCAAATTGGTGTAACCATAATCAGTTTTACCTATACTTTTAACACTTTTGAGTAAAAAAGTAAACCTCTCCTTATATTACTTGTTTCAAAGATATGAATGCAAAACGGGATGCGCTAACTAAAAACAGTTGTTCTTTTGTTTCTCTTGACTGCATTTTAATGCGGTAGTACTTTGGTTGTTTGTCTAGTAGTAAGTTTTGGTAAAGGGCCTCTTTTGACCTTTTAGCTGTACCTTGCCTAGTGTGCTGGTCTTCGGCCCATGCCAGTAGCCCTATCGCCTTCTCTATGTAACATACGTGTATTCTGCCCTAACATTAGGCCTGCTGTTGCCTTCAAAAAAGTCTAAAGACGCTAAAAATGCCTGAAAATTGGTAAATTAAACCTCATTGTGATTTAAACTGGCGGAAAATGGGATAGTTTCCATTTTCAGGAGTCTTTTAAAATTGTGCTTTTATACACAACTAACCCTAGTTGTTAAAATAATAAACGGTCACTTAACTGCCTCCTTTTTTACTCGAAACAGATGAGCATGAGCACTTCTGTTACCGCCCATAAACGGGCGTGAGTTTCAGCAAGTGTGGAGTTACAAAATGGAAAAATTAATTATTATTTAGATTGATTCTGAAAAATCGTTTCTTTAAATTTTTAACTTTGTAATCTACACCGAGATTCATTGAACCACTTTCCTTTACGTTGTTGCCCGCAATTTCTTAAATATACTGCATCTACCACTTTGTCTCTTCTTAAAGAAAAAAAGTTAACTTTTTTATTCTTGATTTGAGTAGCAAAGCTAAAGTAAACGATTAGGTTCGGCAATAGAGAAGCTGCGCGATTTTCCAACCGCAACTCCCTAGTTCCCTAGCTATCAAAGATGCAACCTTTGGTGCTTAATTTAAAGCGCCCGCCTTTCCCTTATATCACACATTTGAGTTATTATGCCCATTTGTCCTCCAAAACTTTTATGTTAAGGCTTATGATCCAAGAAAATAATTGGTTTTTTACCTAAGTGATAGGACAACCTTGACCCATTGGCAACGCCACCCGCTCACTCCATAAATCGTTAATAATTAGGGTTGGTTTACCACAATTGTGGTTCATTGACTGAATTATTAACGAGTGCCAAAAAGCCAAGAATCATTTCTTAAAGTTAAAGATAAGCAAAGCTATATTGTGGTTGCAATGGAATAAAACGTGTAGTTTCTGTACATCTTGCTGTTCAAACCAGCCTAAAATGTTCGGTCTTAAAATAAGTATGGGTCGTGCACTTAAACATCTCAAACTGTTTATAGCATTGGAATTAAGGATTTGGTTCTTGCATGCATTCGATGTAATTTGCTTTAAGATAGAAAGGTGTTTACGGTAGACGCTTTTCATGTTGGCCATCCTATTTTTTAGTTCCACTGTATGCGCACTTTCCGATTTTGTTTTCACTTGTTTAACTTACCCATGTTTTTCAATTTTCCTTCAGTTAATGTCTGTTGTTCTGCTTTTTGGGTGCTGGAGATGTTTTTGATCCTACCTAAATATGCAATTGATAATATATCTTCTGACTGCAATACAATTTTCCGAAACAGTATCTAGGAAACTTGTTTCTGGTGACAGGCTTTTTTAATGCCTTTTACATCAGATGGACATGCACACGCGTAAACTCTACTTTGGTCACGAGGAGGATCGCGACAAGGGTCCTAGTGCCAACTCCGATGACCTTGAGGAGCGAATCGCAGCCCGTCGATTACGAATCTCAGAGAGAGTGGCCTCTTTACGGTGAGTCGGACTACTTTTCCTCACCGCATGGGCCTGATTTTTCCTAGAGTTATTTCTCTTGTCAATTTTGCAGTCCTGACTACTTCGACGAAAAGGCGTCAATCGATGAGGAAGCGGCTGTGACAGCTACCTCAAATCCATTAGCTAATGCGCAGGTGGCACTAAGCGCACAGCGAATCGTCAACCTCTGTCGCAATGGCAATGCCTTTATCACCAATCTCAAGGTGGCCTGTGACGCACGTGAAAATCTACGTCGGGTGGAAGAAGAGGAGCTTGACAATGTTAGGCAGGCTAAGTTTGATGCAGAACAAAAAGCAACGACAAAGTTGTTTGAGGAAGTATGCCTAATTGTGCCTAGTCATACTTATTCCAAGCTATTCTCTTCTATGGTTCTCATAAGTGTTCCCCCACAGGTTGAAGAGAAATGGGAGGAGGCAAAAACAACAAAAGGCGCCCACGAGTTGCACGACGTAAGTCAAATTCGTAAATAAGGACGGAGTTATGCTATGGCCCACAATTCAAATAGGCTTCTTATCCTTTTTTAGATTTTTGAGGAGTTAAAGACCAACTGCGCCAAAATTATTGACGAGAAAAACAAACTGATCTATGACATCCATTTGGTGCGTTGTTGCTACCTTTTCGCCACTTTGTTCCAGGAAAGTGACAATGCATTTCACCGAAGCAAATTTAGTACCACAGACAATGCTTTTACTTAAGTACAGCAGGTAGCAAGGAATGGAGCAGAAAATTAATCACGAGATTTGAGGGGGATTAAAATAACTACTTTTTAAATTATTTTTGCAGGAGTTAAAAGCCAAGGACGATCATTTTGTGAAGGAGCTCAGAAAACGAACGGAAGATGTGGATATCATGGTGGAGCGAATGGAATCGCAAATGAAGTCAATGCAACGCGCCTATGACTTCGAGTTGAAGGAAATTGAGGTAGTTCATAGGTGAAGTCTTTTCTTAGGTAGAAATTCTAACTCAGCTACTCCTAAAGGCTCAATTGTAGGATGTATGGTCCTAAAGTAGTAAAAACAACTTCATTACGGTGATGCATCCTACAGTAAGGGGTACTATACGCTAAGGAAGGAAGGGACACCTTTTGGAACCATTCAGCTGAAGTAATGCAACAATTTAAATGCATTGCCATTGACGAAGAAAAGTATGGCGGCTAATGGGCAAATGGGTGCTGTATTCCATCAAGTAGTTCGTCTCTTTGTTCCTGTATGCTGTTGAATTTTGCCGTGCATTCAGGCTGCTTGATTAATGTTGGAAAAGGGGCTTCCGTACTCTTTGCAATTCATTCACTACCCCCACCTCACACCTCTAAGACACAGATCCCTTCACCTCCATAACACTATGATCTGCAAGCGTGCAATTAACACCAGACACAGTCATTTAGTGAGTGCTGCCCCCAAAATATCACGACCAACGCCTCTCTACTCGATATATCCGGGGGCAACTTGAAGGTGGGGAAGAAATATTCTTTTTCAGAGGCAGAAACGAATAGGCAATCTGTAGAGAGATAGCTCTATTTTCACGAGGCGAGGCAATGCAAACACTCGCGCCGTTGATGGGTTTATTACAGAGATGCTAAGTTGGTGTTTATACATGTGAGCTTGGGTTCTGCCAATTTCCTAACTCGTATAATCAGGAGACAAGGTCTCAACTACCGAGGTCCTCGTTTGCCACCCGGCAAAGACTAGTTACGGAGGGATGGAGGGTACGACGTGCACCTATGTGACATCTGATCGGCAAGCCTCAATCATTCTGACGCAAAGAAAGACGTCGAAATTATACTTCATAAACCAAGGCATATGTGTGGGTACGCTAGAAGCAGCAAATCTTCTCCGCTGACACGTGAACACGCAAAGTGACGACAAAACGCTTTTTAACATCAAACTGTTAGTCAGGAATGCAAAAAAATTGACACCCACTATATTGTTAGGGTAAATATGAGGCTCTCCGACAGTCCACTTGGCTAAAGTCAAGACCAAAAAGGTCATTGGAATAACTGCATGATAGAAGTATGACAAGTGAAAGCCAAACGAAAGTACCAGTTGACTTTATTCTTTACTAAGTATAGAAAAGTGATGCATCACTAGTACTCTTGATTTGATTAGTAACTCATTCAAAAAATCGACGATTTAGTAAAACCATTCTTTACCCCTTCTGCCATATTTTTTGTGGAATTAGAAAGCATTTCTGCAAGATCGCGAGGATCTACTGAGAGAGCAGACAACCGATTGGGAGGATTTTATGAGAGAATTGAGGAAGAAGCAGGAGGATTACCTGGAGGAACGAAAAAATCGGATTACTGAACTAGAGGAGTTGATTCAAAAGTTGCGAATCAATCACACCGAGGAGTTCAATGCTCTCAAGCTGCGTTTAACAACGGAAGTTCAGGTATAATTGGACATTAAAACATGTCTACTTGTGAAAAGTTAGCACTCAGCATTATCGCTAGTCTTTTTTTTGTTTTTGCTTCGTCAAGAACATGGAAACAGACCTTCAGCAGATGAAAGCGATGTATCAGTTAAATTTGGAGAAGCTGGAATACAACTTTCAAGTTCTGAAGAGACGAGATGAGGAGAATACGTTTACACGATCTCAGCAGAAGCGAAAAATTACGCAGTTGCAAGATCAACTAAACCGCCTCCGTGTTTTTTCCAAGAAACAGGAAGAATCTCTCCGGTAGGTGAGTAAACATTGCTACTGCGAAGTCTTGAGTGGGACCTATTTGCTGAGCCAACTTTTACCACTTTTAGACACGAGAATCTGGTTCTCTCGGATGATTACAAAAAAATGATGGAGGCTTTCAGAGACCTCCAAAAGAAGTCGAAGTAAGGAAACTTGTTTCAGCTAATTTCCTTTGAGTGCTGGGTTGATTAGTAAAGGCGGGAGTTACTGTACCTTCCTCTTAACTCCCTAGGTCACTGATAAAATTCGAGGAACAGAATTTTCGCGATGTTTGGAATATGAATGAGGATGAGTTGAGGAAAGACGCCGAAAAGTTAATGGCTGCCGACAAAGTTATCATGGAGCAGCAATTGGGACTCACATGGACTCCACCCGAAGTGTAATGCCTTTTTGCCATTGGTTTTTCTCAAGGTCAAGATGACCTCGTTAAATCATCTGACTTAGGGGCTGCTTGATGCTAGGAATCCACGAATTTTACCCATCAGTCGCCCGTTACAGACCGATAAGTATTTTTAAGTCAATGAAAACCCCTTGTAACGCTTAGAGTCTTTCCTGGCGTCATAGACATGTCACCTGTGTGGAGGAGAATTTGTCACTAGTGCATGGGTGAGATGCTTTAAACACGGTCGGGTGCCCATGTCGTCAAGAGTTACGTTAACTTTAGGGAATGAAAGAGCGTCCTCCACTAAACATGTTGTTAAACAAGATAGAAAATCCCTAAGATAGCGTCCTTCAAATGATTACATGCCTACCGTTGTAATTTAGCCCCTTTATGAACAACAGTGGGCCAATTTCACTGGCGGAAAAGGAAAGGCGTACCACCTCTATCGCGGCACGAGCTCTACAACTTCCCACTTACAAGAGGTAAGTACCAAACAGCCATCTAGTTTGTTCTCAATCGCCCCATTATGTCCGAGCTAACAAGTTCGTTCCGTTCTGTTTGACTACCAACTTCATTATTTACTTGGTCGTTGCAGTCGATCAGTCAATATCAGAAAGTTACCAAAATGTCGTTTGCCACAGACTCTCAAAGAAGCACCAAAGGAAATTGTCGGCCAATTTTTGACAATGCTTGCTTTTGAACCCGTAGGTTTTAATAAGCAAACCAATGTGTACTTTCAAAGACAAAATAGCACTTTTTCCTTCCTTATTTTAAGGAATTTCTGATAGAAGTAAAGGTGAAAAAGTTGCTCAAAGATCTGCCATTTGATGACCAGAAACTCATTCGGCTGGATGCGGTCCTCAACGTGCGTTTTGTTTTGATGCAGCAACTTTTACTTAAATTCATTAAGTAATATAAGTGTTTTAAACAAATTCCAGGTGTTGAAGGTGAATAGCGAAGAACTGTTAGACAAACTTTTCACCTACTTCATTCTGCCTTGTGATAGCCGCAGGCCACAACCTTTAACCATGTCGCCGCCTGTGTCAGCTGCTTGTAAGCAAATTTTAGAGTTAACTAAATGTTGGGTTGTATAATTCGCTTCGTGAGCGACGACCTTGACCCTAACCGCGTTAAAATCGTGAAGTCAAAGTTCCAAAAGTGTTGAATTCCTCAAAAATCCATGCACTCATCGATATCTGTCAGTACATCTACAATATCTACTATGCCTTCTCCCTTTACTACAAATTCCGCGCTGCTTAATTTCCTCTTCTTGCAACAAAGTATAGTGGGCTGCTAAACCCTTTCAGATCTTCCCCGATTCGTTCCCGATTTTGATAGGGTTTATCATTACCCTCTTTTCTAGTTGGGCAAGATATGCAGCCAGACGGTGAGAAAAGTGAGCCACAGGAGTGTGAGTCGCAGAGTACAACACCGCCGGAGAGTCTCGCGCAAACCGAGGCACCCACCTTCAACGAGGAAGTGGAATTTAGTGCTATCCGCCTCATAGACCCAATCGATGTGCCGCAGGTATTGCATCGCTTTGCTGTGGAGAACTGCGTACACGCCACCGTGGCCGCTTTTGAACGCGCGATGGAAAACACCGCCCCTGTCACTACCAGCTCACCTGAAGACGTTGTTAACGAGGCTGAGGAAAAGGATGGTGCTACTAAGGCCACACATCGAATTAGTGCACGTCAGCAGGATCTCCTAGACATGGAAATGGATCGGGAGCATTGGTACAAATATTTGTAGGTGCTGACATCACTTAAAATCTCTCTTAATTTTGAGATTTATATTCATATCCTCCAAACTGAAGAGCAATCTAGCTTTAATGGTTGTTAAAAACAGGCAAAGGTGCTATTGTTTTCAATTTCGCGCAGAAATACCTTTGCACCGGATGAAAAGAGACGAATGTGGGCAGGACTGAAACAGACGCTACAGCGCTACCTCACCATCTTACAAGCGCGATCAAGGCTCATTGTTGAAAATGAAGCGCTTCGAAGTCAAAATATTGAGCTGCGTCATTTATTGCAACTGTATTCGCAGTCGCAGGTGAGTGGGGTTAAAAGGAGGTGTCACATACATGCGACGCCCTCATTCTCATGCAAGAGTTTAGCATCACAGGTACCCATGTTTGCAATTCATGAGTGCGTTTCTTTTCAATGGATCAAATAAGCTTTGGACTTGGCTTTTCTTTTAGGCCAGTAAAAGTCTTGAAGTTGAGCCCCAGTCTACAATGCAGATGTGAGATGTCGGTGGCAGATGCAGACAAGGTCATCCACCGTCTATTGTTTGCCTTAAAAATTGTACTTATCAATTCTATTTAAAGGGATTGGAATATGTAATAAGCAGTCAATACAGAAAAAAAAAAACAAATTTTGGTCAGACACATATGGCGCCTTTATACGCCTCAGGTGTGAATAGCCTTCCATTTCCTCTCGATGCATTAAAATTGGAACAGTGCAATACGTCGGTTGTTTAGCTTCCAATTTTGGTGAAGAGTTACTCTTGATTTGGCCACTGTACAACCCTGGGTGGGCTAACATTAGTGTAGCGCCCCCGAAGAAGGAAGAAGACAAAGTGCTCGGACAGAATATATATTCAGCGCAGAGAAGGTGTCTGGGCTACTGGCATAGCTCGAAAGGCCAGCCCACCCAGCGAGGTACAAAAGCGGCGCCTCGCCAATACTGGGGGGATAAACCACCACCGTATTACGTTAGGGCTATTCCAGTAGCCCAGGAAATTTTCTGTGCCAAATACACATGTTCTGCCAGAGTGGTATTTCTTCATTCGTCCTTAGTGGAGCCCATGGATGCAACAAAAAGACTTAGAACTCTATAAAGGTAGAAAAGTACTCTATTCTTCTAATGAACGAAAAGAGGAGTTGTCTCAATGTACGTCACTGAATGATTCCTACCAAGTTCTTATAAGCATTGAAAGTGCTTGAGGAAAAGACTTGATAACTTTATAAAGGCTGCCGGATGCATAGACTTTTTAGACGAAGATTGGTCTTTTTAATGAGTATATAATATATTATACACAGAACTGTTCGCCGCTGAGATATCATCTATGACTAAGAACGAGTAGGCTAATTTCAACCCAAAACAAAAAATGCTCGGAAAAAGCTTGTTGCAGATATCAAATCGCCTATCGTTAAAGGAATAAACCCACTCATCCATTTTGTTGTATACGAGTCAAATCTTGAGATCAAAATTTTGATTGGCTGCAAAGTTGGTGGAATAGCCTGGCTGACTTCGGATTCCAAGATGACGGATGCAGGCTTTTTCAAGGTAGTTTGTGTTCTCTTTTTTGCATTACTTCGTTTATCAGGGCACGAATACCGATCAGGATTCTAGATTTGCCGACAAAAAGAAAAAACTTTTAAAAAGCATGAAATTTGGTGACAACTTAAATGAAAAAGTTGGTGACCTTTTGCCACATTGTTAAAAAATTCAGGTCGATACACAAAGAGTTAACGTCGACTCAATTAAACCCTGGATCGTTAAGCGCATTACAGAGCTTCTCTCCTACGAGGACGATATTGTCTGCGATTTCGTCGTAAATATGCTCTCAGAGCAGGTAAGGCTATGTTCTCTTTTCCCCACTCCGAGTACCCTTTTAAATCCATAAGTATTTAACATGCCATTTTTAAGACATGATTACCTTTGTTAGGAGGTTGAAGGGTATCAGGTTGGTTTGTGCAGTAACGTACTTATTTCTCTTGACGCACTAGCTCCTTTCTTTTATACATTTTGATTGGCTTTTAGGTGTTGCCAGGGTCTACTATCAACTTAAGTGTGTTGGAGCGGTGGCTCGCAGTTTGAACTCTGCTACTGCATCTACCGGTACCATTTTTACCGTGGTCTCCAAATGATATTAGTCTCGTTGCCCTGCTTTAATTGGAGACCCTATCTAGCCCTTGTAACGCCTTCCCTTTGCTTCATCGCCTTCCTTCCTTCTCTCTTTTTTCTAGTTTCCTGACCCCAAGGACATTCAAATTAATCTCACAGCTTTTCTGGGCAGCAAGAGTGCACGGATCTTCGTCACAGAGCTCTGGGATCTGCTTCTTTCCGCCATGAACACGACTGGCGGCGTCCCTGCCATCCTCTTAGAAGCCAGGAAGGCCGAAATTCTCGGTAGTAAGGTAAGAAGTAAATATTTGATGAATCGGGTATTTCTTTGTTCAAAAATTTCTCAGCATGATCATTCTTGTAATTTTTTGGCTTGGGGGATACTTTCAACGTGTCTTTTGGAAAATCTGCATCTATGTGGTTGATCATGGTTGACACCATGTCTCCTGGAGCAGGTCGTGCCTTTTATGGTGAACGGAGTTGGTGGTGCGTTGTGAAGCCGGTCTGTCATGCATCATTTTGGGAAGCTCTGTGTATTTTATTAGTCAAACACTTTTAATTTTATAGAATTGTCCGATGGAGTCCAATTTCTATCAAAATTGATGTTTTCTCGAATACTGCGTCTTTTTTAACTCTTGTATGACTAAACCAACGCTCCCAAACTCTATTCGTGAAAAAAAATCATTTTTCGACATCTATTTTGTAACCTAGCGTTTTTCGCCCTTACTTGGGCGGCAATTTCTGTTTAGTTGGATCAACCGATCTTCAGTAAAGTCGAAGCTTTGCTTTTAGTGTTTTTGAGGAAACGGGCTTAGCAGACACGCTGTAGAAATTTCACTTATTGTAGCAACTAGGTAAATTTTTCAGATATTTTTGTTAAAAATAGGCCCTGTTGGTCAACTTCAAAGCCTTATCGAGGGCTAATTCGCGTTGTTTCAAATAAATTAGAAATTTTCAGCGTTCAGTTAGGAGTTGTTGAGAAATTGTTCAAGGCGCATTTTTCCTAATTTTTCTCTCTTGCAGCTGCCATCGATCCAAAATGGTTTTCTTGGAGTCTTTGTGGTTCAGAAGGGTGTTCGTCGCAAATTTACTTCGAACCACCTTTTTTTAGCTAATTACCTCTAGTCGATGCTTGGTCACTCGTTTATCGGTGGTTGTCGTTCTCGGCTGCGCATTTTAAAGATGCTTCTGACCGAATCTTGGCTGTTATGAAATCAACTTGGATTGTGTGATCTTAGATTTGGCAAAAGTTATGCCTTTTTCGCATTTACCAGTTTCTTAAATCATTTGAAGGTAAACATTGTGGCGATTTCCGGAAAGATTTGTTCAGTTGCTTGTCGTGAACTAGTTTGTCTCTGTTGTTTATTATCTTAGTGTCAGGACTTGTCCTCTTCTTACAAGACAGCTCGAGGCCTCATGCCGTTGGTGAACTTATCGGGGAGACTTGTTATTTGGGATAGGAGATGGGCACTGCCTCTCTCTACCCGCGTCTCCAAGTGTCAAACGGCCGGTAGGAAATTAGGCCGAGATCAAATCGAGGGTACTTGGGACTAGGTTTATTGCCTCTTAAAAATCGTTTTTTTCTCTCAAAATTGAAGCGTAAGTGGCATTATCTTGCCTCCACGATGCTTAGTTACATTGGTCAAACCAAATGATCTTGGCGACGGGTTTCCAATGTGTAAACCGTGGTGATACTGCTAGCAATGTTTGCACCCGGCGTCACATGTGCTTGTTGTCTCCACCAGGTCATGGCTCTACCAGTTACGCTAAACGGATTAATTCAACACTTGGAAATTGGGGCGTGTATGAGTGCTACCCTGGTTTACTTATCATGCCACCATTGTCACGACCTATGAAATGCGTCCCTTGTCAGGGTACTGATAACTGTGGTGGGGTGCCCGCCAAATCATGTGATGCGAAGAGATTGGTTGAGCTTGAATACATGGAGGTATACATCCACTGTTCTTGGCGTGAGAATAACTGCACTCGTTTTTTTTACAAGTGAACAACACTTGAACTGGTCCATCTGGGCGGGGTGTGACCCATCTTCCTCTAAGGCCTTCACAGCAAATGTGCTAGTCGTGGTAACCGGGACTAAGTCTGTCCGAATATACCAACTAGTTAAGTTAATTTCATTGATTTGACTAGGTGGCAGAAACAGCAAGAAACTGGCCCATGCCCGGGAAACACCATTATTCGAAACATAATCGAGGTCAACCCACCATTATTTATCGCACACCCTACTCTGGCATCCACCTCCTTATGAATCCGACTTGGCTAATAAATGTATTTTTTTGTTTTGTGAATGCAAATGCTATCTGCTGCATTTGAGTGGATTCCACGGACAGGCCAAAATTCCAAAAAAATTGTCTGAAAAAGGGCTTGCAAACACGCATCCAACTTGCTTTTACCAGTTAGTAGTCTCAAATATCTCCCTAAAGGTGAAGTGGCGTATGTGGATAGGCACGATGTAGTTTACTCTCATAACTCCCTCAGTCTTTTTTTGCATTTTCAAGGTCTCAGCCCCCGCCAGTCATATAAATTGAAGGACTTTGCTTGCGTTGGTAAATGTCTGCTCCACTTGATTGATGGGAAAAGGCAGTGACTAAAGTATGAATAGGCTAGCAGGAGTAGTTATTTTGCATCACTACATCTGCTAGGCTGTTTACATGCGTGTTTCGCAGGCCCAAGAAGAGAGATTCCGAGCGGAGCAGGCCTCGAGACAATCAGAAGGAGGAAGTGCAGGTAGCGGAGGCGGAATGGTTAATCGACCGAGAGAACGTGGCGACGGACCTTCTCCCAACCATCCCACCTCACCCATCGCTGCTAATCAACGTCATCGGTCTCCACCGTCCCCGCCACGCGGTGAGAGAAAGGAGGTCGACTCCCGTGGCAGGAACCGTCACCGCTACTGTAAGTCATTCTTCTCTTGGCGTGAGTGAGTAGATTTTAACACCATTGACCTTGAAGTCAAACCAGTGCCTTTGAATTTATAGCAGGTAATAAGAAAACAATGTCATGGCATGTGCGGTAGGCAACTGCTGTTCCATTGCTTTAAAATCGGAAATTACAGTTGGACTTGAATCCTCATCGCATAACTATGGAGAGGAATGTGTGTAGTTGAGCCTTGTCTTCAAGGCGTGCATGGTCACTCTTCCGCTCCTTTCGTTTTCACAAGATCCATTTTGTGTGCACTTCTCCCTCCTACCCTGTCCATCTTTAGTGCTGCCCAACCTCTTCCTTAGGCTGCTTTCAATTTCTTCGAATGTGGAGGTGTTTTGAATGCAAAACCATAAGCAACTCCCTAGAGGAGGCCTCCAAATTAAAATATGATCGCGACTCAGCCATTATATATGGTCTTGGCGAACATGAAGGTATCAAAGTTAGTGCGGTCTCAAAGGCTCTTTCGTTGTGGGTCATTGTGGATCGGAATGGCTTCCTTTAATGACGTTTGGATCCACTAGTCGGTTAGTCAAATCGGGACTTCCCTCCATAAGAGTGAGTCTCGGACTCTGGCAAACCATCTGGGAGAGTACGTATTATCAATGTAAGAACCCATGACACCGCGATGGTGATTGAACCTACGAAGTCTGGATAGTTGGTGTAGTTGAAATCGTTACTTCTGATAGCTATGGTTCCTTTTCCTCTCACTTGATTAGCATCTTCGCCCGATTCCGAACGCGAGCGAAGTCGCAGCAGACGTCGACGCAGGGAGGAAGAAGAGGCAGAGGCCGAAGCCGCGGAACAGAGTGATTGGGATCGGAGGGTTAGTATTTGTGGTTTTTTCATTTTTTTTTTAAACTTCGGAATTCCCCAAACCCCAATATATTTATTAGCTTCTCTTTCCTTCCTGTTATAGAGACGACGTCACCGTCGCAGTTACTCTAGATCGCCCTCTAGTCATCGACGTGACTACCATCGCCACCACCATCGTCGTGGACATCGAAGTCCAAGGGATCGTCGCTATGAGGAGATGGAAGTGGAGGCGGACATCCGCTCCTTCCACGAGCGCCGTCGACCTCGGTTTGTACACAAAACAAATATCAATTAATTCAATTCAGTAGCCATGTAAAATGGAAAGTAGAGGTTTTCCATTCTCTTTAGCTTAAGTTCAAGGGAAGGGAGAAGGCCAAGGGAAGAGGAGAGGGAGAGGGTCGTTCACAACGCTGACGGTCCAATCTGCGTGCCCCGTGCAGGCACACCTTCTCCACCGCCTCCGCCATCCCAGCGTCAACAGTCTTCGCCTTTGACCGACGCTAAAGTCAACGGTGGGAAGACCGACGCTGAGGAAAGTGTAGAAAGGTAGGCGATGTGGCGTAAAACTGAACGTCTCTACTTTTTTTCTGCTTTTCCAAAGTAGCAAATAGTTGATGAGTTTTGATTGGTCGATCCCTTTAGCCTTCTTTGGCCCAACGAGACAAGCACTTGCTTTCTTATTTTGCTTCTTCATTTCAATTTTTTTTGTTTTTTGGCTGACCTCTGCTACTCTTGTTCATTTGCCTCATTTTTGAAATGAACTGTTATTTTCTTTTTGCTTACTTTTTTGGTAGAGTTGAAAAATTAGCTTTCCTCGTGGTTGCTTATATCACCAATCCGGTGTAACTCTTCTCCCTTAAAGGTCCCATCGCGGTGGAAAGTCACCTCGTCGAGGTGTCACGAGGTCACCTCCTCGTGAAGACAGGTCTCGACGCACGGATGAAGTCTATCGTGAAGAGAGGTGAGTCGTTTCTTATTTTATCTCCTTGTAAGTTCACTGTTGAACTCACACATACGTTTTCTGTCTTAACGTAGAAGGCCTCGCGATTTGGACACGGATAAGTGAGTGTTCATTCTTCTTTCCTCTGTACCATGAGCGTTCTAGTAATTATCGGGGGTGTCATGAACTTTTGAGATCTATATGCAGAAGGGCTGGGACAGGGTGTCTTACAACATGGGAAGATTGAAAAGTCAGTTTTGTTGAGGCTACGATGGGGGTTCGATTCAAACCGAGACCATGGACTTTATGTCAAGGCTTAACCAGTGTCCACCACGTCCGGAATCGTCACCAACGCACACGTGTACGACCGTCAAACGCCTGCCTGCTGTACTTGAAGTCTTCTTTATGAGTAGGAGTCTTGCATCCTTGTCGGGAAGGGGCTTATTTCATGAAGGGATGCATTACATCTGGATGTACATCGCAACTCTTGCCACGTGTTGCTTTGTGTGGGTCCAATCGGATTGCTGTAAGCACTCGAAGTCCCGATTCGACTCCAACTTCCCTCGTATTTATGCCCTGGTGGCTACAAAGTTGTGTGCGACTGCCACTCACCTCTCATAAATCTCGCCGACTTACTTTGTAGACGAGCTTATAAGGAGAGGTCCTCTTGGCGGCGAGACGATTCCTACGAGAGGTAGGTGCTTTTTCTTCGACTAATTTGACTCATTTTTTGATTTGCCGGTGAGAAAGTTGTTAAATCCCCCTTTCATCTCAAGACGTCGGAGCGGTCGTCTGACCATGGAAAATGAGACATACGTAGAGGAGCACCGTCGACACGATAATCACGAGGAACTGGAAGATCGTACCAAATTACGACAACGTCGAGATAAAAAGCCGGTAGAGGAGAGAGAGGAATTGGAGCAACACCAACAAAGGCTAATGCCCTCTACTTCCTCGTCCAGCCGTCGCAGTCCCGAGGGACCCACCCTTCCACCAGGTGAAAGGGGTGGGAGAAAGGACAGGAGGGAACGAGAAGGTGAAAGCTAACCTCACTTGTGCTCCTTTTCTATGTCCTTAATTCCACGCACTGAATGTTTGCCTGCCTTCCTGCCCACCTTCTAGATGCTCCTCAAGCTTCTCCAGAGGGTCCGGAGCTTCCAAAAGGCCTAGCAAAGCAGCGAAAGGAAAAAGAGGAAGAAAAAGTGGAGAAGGTGCAAAAGAAGACCAAGAAGCGACGAGACTCTTCGTCGTCGTCATCATCATCATCGTCGTCAACATCCTCCTCGTCGTCTTCCTCAGAGTCTAGCTCAGATGAAGAGGAGTCATCAGATTCAAGTTCTTCTGACTCGGACAGTAGCAGCAACGAAAGTGACAGTAGCAGCAGCTCCTCTTCGTCATCTGACGATTCGGACGTTCGCAGGAAAGGGAAGAAAGGGAAGAATTCAAAAGCTCACGGAAAAGTGAGTTTTACTTCTCCCTTTTCTGCTGTAACTCCGCTTCTCATTAAGTAGGTTCCGTACTTTTGGGGTCATTGAATGTCACTCTCTCCCTATCGGGGCGGGTCTCCATGCCTCCCCACGGTGGATTGACCTTTGGCTGCTACCATTGCTACTTTTCTTAAAATACATTCGTAACCTGCGCCTCTAAGCTTAACTGCATGCTATTTCTGCGTTTTTCACGTCCTGTGTTTTTTTAATCCTTGAGCAGTTTTTTGCGTCCATTCTAATCGGGCAGACACGAGCACGCGGTTCCGATTGGTTTCTGCGCTTTTTAAGTATTCGATCATCAATCTGGGTTTTCCTTTGCACACTTCAGAAGGGCAAGTCCACGAAGAGGCGGAAGATGCGTAAGCTCAAAGCGAAGGAGAAGTCGATGAAGAAAAAGAAGCGAGAGATGCAAATGCTGAAGGAGAGTACGAAGAAGAACAAGAGGGAGCCTCAACAGCTACTGTCTCCTGAAGGTCCAAAACTTCCACCACCCGCTGGCGAACTTGAAAGTCCTGGTGTGGAATGGAAAGAAAAGCGAAGGGAAGGTGACGTCAATGAAGCCCCATCTTCTACTTCCTCATCATCTAGTGAGGAGTCCTACAGCGATTCATCCTCAAGCTCGTCTTCGTCGTCAACGAGTTCCAGTTCTGAGGAGAAGCGTGAGAAGTGGAGGAAAGGACTTTCGAAACACGCTCCCCGTGACGATGATGCTGTTGAAGGAGATAAAGAACGCGGACGCAAACGACATGTGGGTTGATTTTTGAGGCAAAGTAGTTAAGCGGAATTTGTGGTCTTGGTTAGTAGCATAGTTTCCAAGGTACCTATTTAAAACCACTGAAGCGAGAGGGGCCTTCAGATTGTCTCGATATTTGCTGATCTCGTTTGATCCCCTTCCTTTCATTTATTCAAGAACGACGTGAATGTTACTGAAAGTCGTGGCGACGGTGGCAAACGTCGAAGACGTACCGGAGATGCCGATGTCACCGAAGGAAGGGACAAGGAAGAGGAGGAGGATGAGGACGGGTTGAGCAGGCGTCGTGGAAGCAGTAGTCGAAGCGAAGAGGATCGTCTGCGACGCAGAGCGTTGGAGTCGTTGAAGCGGAAGAACGCCGCTGCTGAGGCCTCGCGTCTAATGGATTCAGCTTAAGATGACAGCCCCATCTTCCATCCCACCCCTTTTCCCAATTTCTTTTTTTATGTCCCCATTTGGTGTCTTGGCCTGTAGGACTGTCTGTCTGTCGTCACCCTCGCTAATGAATGGTGCATTGCTTGTCCACAATGGAGAAGCTTTTTTGGCGTTATTGGCAGTTCGGGAAGAACTCGGTCGGTGAGCTCTTCACGTAGTGGAAGGCACCTTCTTTGGGTAGGTACCTTTGCATGATCGTGGCAGTTGGTTAGCTGGGAGATACTTCCGTTTCAAGTCTACTAAATTCCTCATTTGTTTTTGGTAAATGGAAGAGATTTTTGGAATACATAAGTCGACTCCGTGAGATTTTTTAGCACTTTCAGGATTCGGCGAATCGCTAACTGTGTAACCGATCAGCAGGGTCTGGAGTTGGTCCTCTCACCTGGCTCGACTTGGTAAGGGTCCCTCTGTTGTGACCGGTTAGTTATTTGATCAGTGACCACACTGTCTGTGCTCAATGTCGATTGGTTGGTCGTGCCGTGGACTGCTATTCGTCTGTGCGTATAACATCGTGGGTGATGCTTCCTTCGACAGCCCGGTCTTCCGTCCGCGACCACGGCCTCTCAGGCCCCCCGTATGCCAACAACGAACCCTTCTTTTATGCTGTCATACTCCTTTATGCTTGAGTGATAACGCCAGCGCCACTTGTTTTGGTGAAGTATGCCTATCCTTCATCACAGGCGCCCAAGTGGATTCCTCCTTGATACAGTTAGCTCAAAGGGGAACGCGACAACGCCTCACTAGAGGACTCACTACGGTCGAAAGAGAAGAGTAGCCAGGAAGAACGCCGGGGGTGGCATCCGAACTGGTCGCTACCTATGTTTTAAGTAGTAAAGTCCGTAATTAAAGGCTACTGCACATTTGACTAAGAGTATTAAGTACTTTTGCCTGAAATTAGTGGCGATCCAGCCAAATAATCGCGGCTGTCTTGGAATTAAACAGCGCCGAATCTTGCTGACATTTGTAGAGTCAACATTTACCTATTTTTCTTACCAAAGTGCCAATCAGGCGAGGCACCAACCCCCTGGAGGCTGTAACAACGCAAAATGCGCGGTAAAAGTGGACAAGAGACAGGTCACAGCGAACACAACGCGATCACCCAAGACGAATATTTGCTGGAACAAAAATTTGGCGCAAGCTAGGCACCGTGACAACTTTGTCTCCTCTATCGACCAATGAAGTGGCAAATCAGGCCACTTCAGTCGTACTGACAAATCGGTCCGTGCGAAAAATGTAAAGCACGTACTCAAAAGAGGAGGGTCTGCTGGTAGAAGAATGTTGACACCCCCTGCTACATTCCATCCCTCCATCTCCTCCATGACGTCGTCAAGACTGACCCAAAGGCAGCGCGCAAAAAAGAGCCACTTAGTACTCACTCATGCATTTACAAGTGCTTCCTCGCATACACGCATCATACGTCGTGATACCTACGTATAAGGCATTACAAAAGCGGAGTGGACACAACACCTAGGATGGATGGATGAGTCGGTGAAGACAAATAACAATAGAGCAGGTTAAATAAAAGACAAGAAAGAGAAAGGAAGGCGGGAAGGGGAGAGCGTTAGAGTCGGAGGAAACAGTTCACCGTTGTTTGTTCGTGATAGGCTGACGGAATGCGTATCTATGGGAGAAGGGAAAAAGGACGAGATCCAGTCATGTGATTGGTCAATAGGACACAACCAATCAGAGTTAAGAGGACCAAGTAAATTATAAACCTGGGCATTGTTTCAAATTGTTGAATTTGTCATTCAGTGTTCACTTGACCCCTCGTCAAAGGTGCGATACTAATAAAAAATCAGCAGGCTATAGCCATTACTGTGCCAGGATAAAATACTACTGACAACATATAGGCAGCATTTCTGAGCTTTGTCCACAGCAACGCGATTAATAACATAAATTATTTTTGCTGTTATGTGAGGTGCTGCTGGAAAATCTGGGACTTCTTTCCTAACGAAACGACCTCATTTAAGACTAGAATGGGCTTGCAAAAGGGGGTACCTTTTAGTCCCCTGCGATTCGACTGTCGCGCCGATGGCACGAAGCTCCGTAGCTACTCCCTCAGCGATAAATCTACTTCCAAACTTTTATGTCCATTTTTTTTATTTGGAATTGATTCGGGAGCTACACTGACACCATTGGCAAATTGACGCACCTCAATAAAAACAACGATTCCGAGCCAAAGGAGAGGGATACTACCGACAACTTCCTGTGACAACATCAATGATAGCGATTCAACAATCTCACCTGAAACCACAAGAGATGACACGATGCAGCCATTTGCCAGTCACCTTTGACCATTTTGATTGGTTTCTATTGGCAGTAATGACGTGGGCTGGAGTTCAGGAGTCGTTGAGGAGGGGGAGGGAGCCACGACGAAGGCACATGGTGCTCCCAGCAGCGCCAGTACTTCAGCATCAGCACGTACACCTTCAACAAAATCGGCAAAAGAGATTCGTTCGTCACCGTCCTTATCCATCACCGCAAAAAGTCGACGTGTCCGCTGTTCCGGAGTCGCCTCCTCCGCTGGCATCTCGCGCGCCACAGTTGCAGGGCCGATCATCTTGTAGATAGCCTAAAACGGGTCGCACCGGTGCTACTTAAGTGGTTGTTAGTAGAATGTGCCCGGGATGTAATTAAGTGTCCATCTCGGTGGCTTACGCACAGTCCACTGTTTAAAATGTTACGGTGGAGGGTCCCGAAGCAAACCAGGATGTTTGAGGTTGAACAACTAAAAACAATGCCACATTTACGCGCACTTTCCAATGCAGCGGGAAGAAAATTTTCAAAAGGAAAGAATTGTTAGCAGGACTGAATCATCTCAGAACAGTCCGCTTCACTTCGCCCTCAGTGTGCACGAACTTTTCAAAGGCGCAGCTGTTTGCATCGGTCAACGAACGTGCTCTATTTACCGTTGCAACAGAAGTACTCGTCACTTGTATGATTTCATTACAGGTGTGTTCTACGTCTAGGATAAGATGTTCCACATGCTTGAAGCTCACAGAGACGACTGCTGTGGCAGTTAGCCGGTACCGTCACCGTTTTTCGTGTTTAAATTATTTGCAACAACTATACAAAGTGCGCTTTAAGCGTTCTGTACGGATGGTTATCAAGGGAGTGTAGTTTGACGCCCTTGTTCATAAGAAAGACGCCATTAATTGCCGCACGCACTTCTATCACTGTTGTTCTCAATCTTTTCTGAGTTAACCGCGTCTAAATTAAATCGGCCGATGATATTTGTCATCACTACGGTGAAATTCTTTTTCAACCACTGCCAAACTCACAGTCCCGGCTTGATATGGACATTCCTGTCATAGGGCACATATGGGATTTAGGGAACTTAGAGAACCCTCTTGTTGATCATCAAAAAGGCATCACAAATAAACGCCCCCTCGCTGGTTGTTAGTACTACACACATTGCTTTCAATTTCTTGGGGCAACTATGTAAAATTGAAGAAAAATTTATGCCAAGAATGTTGTAATTTCTCAGAAAATCAATGCACCATTCCCTTTTCAATCAAACAGGCAAAAGTGGCACGAGAAGACGGGACATGTTTACCACAAATTTTCAGGCCTTGGCCCATCAATCAGCGGGCGACTTCAAAGCCAAGGCAAACAACCCACCCACTCACCAACCAAATGGTGGTTACTCAGACCAACGGTCTTTGTGTCTCATTGCTATTAAAAGAGGGGGCGGATTTACAAAAAGTGTAGAAAAAGCGGTGGATTTAAGTATTTACCTTGCTACCCTCCCGCGCCGGTAATGAAATTGGCTTGGATACCTGTCAATTTAGGCGTAAGAGATGAATTGTCACTCGGCTCCCTGGACCAAGTTTTTTTTAATGCATTTTTGTCCGGAATTCGTGACAGAAGCTTCACCATTTTGGGGTTTTGAAAGAAAGAGCGACAGAAAGGGCTGAAGCAAATCCATGAGTCAAATCAACAATTTCATTCCCGCGATTCTTTAAGCAAATTATGGAGGAAACCCAGATTGTACGATTTAACTCAAAAACGTCGTATCGCCTGGATGTCCAAGGTGGATAATGCGGATGAATGAGAAGCATTTGAAGTGGAAAGGCATGGATACATTTACCCACCTCGGACCCATCTATCCATCCATTCAGGCGACATTCTTTCACCCATCCATCCAGCTTAGATGGGTATTTCAATCCACTCAACTCGCGTATTCATCCAACAACCCATCGAGGTTGCAGTTGCTCACTCACCTACCCATTCAACCGTCCATATTGATTCCATGTACCAATCCCCCCTTTCTACCAAATCAACTACCTCTCTGTCTATCCGTTCAGTCATCCATCCACCAAGTCTGCCTTCTAGCATTCCTTCATTAATCCACAAATCTAGCCGTCCACCCGCCTAACGACTCTTCCACTTGCCTCAAAACAACCAGAACCACGGTTAGACTGGTTTCGTATGGTCTAAATTACCTAACAGAGATTCACCGAAAAATAATTTCACTTTTCAGCACAGCCAAATGCTCATCAAACACAGTGAAACTGTCTTTGAGTTTTACTAGTTGTGCCATCGTGAAATGCTTTCATGAAAAAGCGACTCGTATTAATTCAAAACGCTCCTAAATGTGTCAGTCTGATACTTCAGACGGTCCCACAACGTTGCTACTTGGTAAGTCGACTTTTCAGTATACGTAGATTTCGGTTGTCAAGCCTTAACGGCATAACAAAGCGCTCATGTTACTTTTTAAATGCCAACAGCCCTGCTGCACACACCTTAATTTCTGTCCAAATCTGTGTTTCTGCGCTACAGAAGTAAATTAAGCTCCATAGCTTCATACAGCTTGCTGAAATGCAATTGACTACGGGCGGTGTCAAGCAAAGTCGTGTCGGTGCATTTAAGCTGTGCTCTGTACTCCTTTCCTCTCCGTTTAAACCTCCAGGATGGTGAAGGCTGACGTGATTCCAGCCTGTCGGCCGTTCTAACCGACAACCTCAGCTCTCAAAGCTACAGAAGACGCTTGGCACATCTGAAGAAAGTGAATTTGTAGGAATGGCGGTACGCAGTAGCAGAACACCTCATTCAGAAACATCCTCAACAGTCAAACTCTGATGGCAAAAAAAGGGGAAAAAATTGGTTTAGCACATTCAGGAAGACTAGATTCCCCAGTAAGAGCTGAGACTTCTAGGCTAACGTGTCAAGAACTCGGCTGATTGCATTACTCGACATGAGGGATGGAATAACTCGTTTGCACCCATATCAGCTGGAGAGGGGATGTTGTGGAATCCCACTAAACAAATAGATGGCACACGCCAGGCACTGACAACAGACGACAAGCTTGAAAGCCTGTCAACCTATTTTGTCCTTTACGTTGTTAAAACACGTCACACGCTGACTGACTTGTGATAAGAAGTAGCTTCTGCACTAGGCCAACCAGGGGATCAGCGATTATTCCCCCAAACTTTCCACTTGAAGTGGGTGAGATGCTCTGATGACCCAAAAGTTCTCTACTAACTACTTACTCTCCAAAGGTAAAACAACAGGCTCGGCTGAGCTCTACCTACTTGAACTACTTTCAAGGCGTGCAAGAAAACTTGATTACTAAAAGTAGGCAAAACTAGTGAAGCAGTGAGAAGGAAGTGTGCTTTTTGAAAAAGGTACAACGCAAATCCTCATACCACGTGCCGCAAAACTTACTCGTAAAGTGATTTGCATTTCAGTTGGGAAGGGGATAGGATAGAGAGGGGGAAGGAAGGGAGGTACTGTCACAAACCCATCCTCAAACCCCTCTTCCGCACTCCCTTGGTAGTGTGTTTGCAAGCATCGACTACCCCTCAGTGTTGGCAACGGGGTAATCATAGGATCGCAAGCAAGGCAGAATCGACCATTGGTAAATAAAAGTAAGAAAGAAGCAGAGGTGTTTGAGGCTAGATTTTTCTACCCCTAAGAGGCAAGACGCATAAAAATGGAGTTGTGAATAGGGTTTCGTCTCGTTAAAAAAAGATGACAAGTTGTTGTGAGTCGCTATGAGGTTAATATCTTCTTTTGTCAGAAAAACGCCCACGAAATTATGCGGTTGACTTGTGGAATCAAAGCCAGTCGCCCACATTACACACGACTCATGTTGACTACCCACTTTTGTGTGTCATAATATAACGTCTATTCTCAAAGCATAAACACCTTCTTCAGTCCCACTTCAACGATATTTCAGAGGTGAAGCATGGGGCCAAACCATTTAACCTGGAGGTTATGACAATGGAAAGAGAGCAGTCGTCTTGTCAACCAAACTACTGAAATCAAACATTAGTAACAAGAACTATCAATGAGGATGAGGTAATTTAATAACCATTTGCCAACTACTTTAAAAAATGACCGCGTATCCTCCGAGAAAAAAATTGACTCGAGTGTAGCCACTCCAGTCAGTTAAGCACCGGCAGCTTTGATTTACGCCTTATTGTATGATGAAAATGGACCACAGCGATTAATGAGTGAACAAAGGGAGAGAACTCCCACACATTGATGCAGAACTCCGCATCAGCCTAACTCTGATATGATGTCGCATTGCGCATTGTCACTATGACTAGGTGCGACTCCTGCACCACATGTCAATGTCCCCGTCGGATGATCCGCTTATCCGTCCCCCACCTTCAATTGTCATCAAAACTTAACATTGGTCTAGTCTCTCTCACCCTTGCCGCTTCTCGCACGAAAGACAGAAACGGGACAAAATTTTGAGCCTTGATCGTGTTTTAAAAAGGCACTTTTAGGCTCCAAACTAGTTCAGTGTTATTCTATATCAGGGATATATTTACTCATCAGGTTGATAGGTCAGTGTTCTACTGACTCTACGTGGCGACTAATCACATCCTTTTTTAAATTCCAAAGTAGAGAAAACGCAGTCCTTATTCAGTCTTCACTACCAGTGCTACTAGTAAGGTTTTCAGGCTTTTAAAAGCATATTTGGAACGCTGTAGATGAGAAAACGACGAGGAGTGGTGAGTGGCTATGTTTAAGCGTACCTTTTTAGGAGGGATCAGAGTGCTATCGCATTACAAATTAACCCTATTGACAAGGCACTGGAAACATTCTCAAATGAACCAGGTAATGGTTTGTGATGTACTGGGCTCATGTGTCAGCTACGGTGACTGGGGATTAAGTACAAACATTTCTACCCCGTTAAAAACATGCTGTGTTTTTTTTAACTCAAAACAAGTAGAAGCAAGCTAAAACGACTCTGTTTATTGAATGGGGAAAAATCACCTATTTCACGACGTTTATCAGGAAATTTTACCAGAGTAAAATGCTTACTACTACATACTACTCTTAAAAGGTGACAATAGCCCAAACCCAATAAAGTTGTCTCTATTATTAGCCCAGAGAACTGTTCTTATGCCTTATAATAGGCCATTATTTACAACTGCACTGCCAACAGCAACCTAATCCTTTGAGGAACGATAAATTGAGGCAATGGCCAGCCAAAATGGGAATACACTCATGCGATAAACAGAACAATTCAAGGCGACCAATAGAGACGACAGTAGCAATAATCAGCAGACCGTTGTTTAGACATCATCGTCACCACGTTGGATGAGATCTAAAAAGCCCCTCTTCCCCCACTCCCCCCTCTGCCGTTGGCATAAACAAGTGTGCAGTTAGTCTGGTATAGTCACTTTAAAGAAGCGACAGCTTCCTGATTATTTGTAAAAATTAGGTAATTAGGATATAGTAGCACCGAATCAAGCTTAAGTGGGTAAGACAAGGGGGCAATAATATAACCACGATCAGACATAAGAGCAATGACTATAACTCCAGTGCAGACTCCTACACCTTGCGGACCCAAACAATAGTGTTTTCATGTTATAGTTTATCAGCGTAATCAGATGTGACCCTTTAGCCACGTAACGATGTACGGGTCAAAGTAAACAGTTGTACCGGCAGTGCCTTGGATAAGAAATTATCCATTCAATTTATTATAACCACTCTCAGGCAACTGAAGTAGGAAGGGGCGATGGTAGGCAAAGGCACCAATTAAGCTTAATTAGAAGGCAAACTTCACCTACGTTGTACTATCTACGGGTGAGGTGAAAAGCAAAAAAAGAATTGTTCTGGGTGACTTCGTTTTTGTGTCCAGTGCAGTAGCGGCACATTAGTGATAAAGTATGGAAACCACCATGTTGATCAACATTTGAAAAATAAATGAACACATTCAACAAATACTTGGCCCCTTTAAAATGTCAGGTAATATTCGAAAAAGGAGTTCTTCAATAAGAAGACTGATACTTTAGCCATTTGCTATCCCAGGACGATAGTTTAGAGGCGGTAACTAAATTAGCTGAACTTAAACTACTTGCTCGTGCTATGGGTAAATGGGAATGGATTGTGGTGATTAGGCAGACATGGAATGATTCACCATGGTCATTTGTCGAGGAGTGAAGGGGACTACCACTTTATACATAACTGCTTCACAGCTAGATGTCAACAAAACGCGCAAAAACAAAGCCGAGAGATTCATTAAGGAACATGTAAAGATTCAGCCTTATACAGAATTTTGCGTTCAAAGGCCCCAACCCTGTACGTACGCAAACTGACTGAGAATTCCAGTAAGGTGGTACTTTACCCGGAGGCTAGGAGACTATCAGAAAAGTGTTAGTGAGTAGTACGTCTCACCTTGACAACCTGCAGCATCTCTCCACGACTGATGTAGCCATCTCCGTCGAGGTCGTAGATATGAAATGCCCACCGTAGCCGTTGCTCCTCGTCATTAGGGTATCTTGTAACACTCAGAGTAGTGATGATATCACGAAACTCGACCACCCCGTCCCCGTTTTGATCGAAGGCACGAAAGACAAGGCGCGCAAACGGCCTCGGGTCACCGTGGCGATCCCCGTTTAAAGTTGAGGAGCTAAAGAGCGCACAGTATAAGCGCTGAAAATCTTCCACGGTTAGTTGCCCATTGGGACAGTCCTAAAAACATTAAAAGCTTTTACAATTCCTTTCTTTTGTACAAAAAATGTTAAAGCAATAAGCATCAGCGTTAGGTACTCATGGCATTGCATGACCCCAGCCATTTCAATGCGACGGAATAGCGCAAAATGAGATGCAATCTTACTAAAATATATTCGAGCTCCATAAGATAAGGGGACTAATTAAGGGCTTGTTCGGTTAATAATAATATCTTAGAGTTGAAAATTAACATTACTTCGTGCATCAAACAAAATGCTAACCAAAACAAAAACCAAGTAGACACTGAATAAAAAAAATTAAATTTTACTTTTAAAAATCCTCGATACCACGATTGAATCTCCTGTTCGTTGAAAGGCGTTGATCGAGTTAGCTCGTCAATTGTTTCTGCTTTAAGTTTTGCCTGTTTTGCACCCATTTTAAGATGAATTGGAGTAGCGAAAATTAACTTTGCATATCTCAGTCCGGAAAACATCCTTTCAAAACGTCCCTAACCGACTCATCTTGCCGAGCACAACGACAATAATGAACGCAGAAAGTAAAGATTGAATTAATTCAAGGTCAATCGACATGAACATCATCAAGTAGCTTTATATTTATTTCAGTCGAAGGGATTTTTTTGCTGGAATGACGCTTCACTCATAAAAATTACTTGTTCTTTTTGTGTGTGCTATTTCTTTATAAAAGTCCAGGGTGCTCTTATGTTACCATACCTTGATTAATTTGGCTGGCAAATCAATACTTAAAAGCAATCCCATCAAATAAATTAGGCAAGCTTTCATTTTGCATAAGACATTATATTACCTCCGATCTCAAATACTGTTATCTTTGGCAGCATTTATTGAATTAACTTTGTATATGCTATATCACAGTTATTTCTTTGTTTGTGAGACTAGTGAAAGTCTGTCTAAAAACGGCAGTTGTTAAATATCCATGGGCACAAGAAGGCATTGTTCCCGAAATCGCTGAAAAAATTCCTTCGATTTAAACAAATCCCAGACCTTATCCTTGTAAAGCCTTGTGAGCTAACACTTACACGTTTGGAAGGAAAATACCATCTCAAGGTTTGGAATTCCTGTGAACGTATGGACTAGAGGTACGGGTCTCAGCATAAACTTAGTCCTGAGACTGGATGACCCTGTTAAAAGCATTGAATGGTCCACCTAAAACCCTTTTTTGTTCTTTTTACTCAGTCATTATCCTATGAGTGCCTAAATATTATGCGTATCTGCAAGATCCGGAAGGTGTTCCGTGTTTCCATAAAATGTAGACCCAAAGTTTGCCTAACCCCGTGAGGTCCTTGTTGACGACAAATATCACTTCAGGGTCTCAAGAATTTAGGGGTTCACAGTCTATTGTTAGAAGAACATAGCGATTTCTGCTCTCCGTGATCGATAAGGGACCTTGTTGTTACTGCCTACTCTCCCTCTTCCGTCAAATCTGAGGTCACAGGTTGAAGGGATCAATTGCCCTAAGGTGGGGCTGTGACGCAAGCGGGACGACCTCTGTAAAATGGCATTATGTTTGATTATCCCCTGCTGTTGTTGCAACGCAATCGTGTAGGCAAATTCTGACTTATTTGCTGCAAACTTTACAAACTTATATAAAAGTATGGTGTCTGTGCGGGGGAGCTTGTTACCCACAATGTGCCAACAAACGCTCTGCCTTAAATGACCGACTCATCTTCCCTCGAATCTTGTTTGTGGTAAGTCACGGAAACGCTCTTCACACAATCCGCCTTTGGTGTCGGTAGAAAATCTCTCCTGTGAGATACCGATTTAAGAAAATATGCTCCAGCGTTCCTCAAGGTTGCTATCTGGAATTATACCAAATTTCTCAGCGTCCGAGAAAACGTTCTGGGGAAGAGCATTTAAGATCCGCTGTGCTTTTTGCCTTTGGGAATAATGCCAAAGAAGTTTGTGTCATTTGTGAAGAATGAAACGTCCTCCAACGTATCAGGACCATCGGCAGGGAAGGTCGGTCGAAGGAGAACGTTACGTTTTCTGACATTGTGAGATTCTACATTTAAGTGAAGTTTAATGGAAAAGTTAGCGTTTATCGCCTCCCGGAGGGGAAACCGTTGGCGCCTTCCCAGTCACCCGAATGGTTCAATTCACCCGCTTGCCACCTAAAAGGCATATTCAAACAGACGTATATCCTTTTTTCCGCTTTAGTGTATTTTCTTCAACAATTTTCAAAAATCTTTCAGTATTTACTTCCTCTCAATGTTGATTAATCCTCGGTAAGAAGTAACTAATGCCTACTATGCCACTTTGTACCTATTTTCCACCCTTTTTGGAGTCCTGCACGGCTAGGCTTCTATTATACCACCGAAATCACCCGATGTCATCTGTTGGCTTGGCAACAATGCAAAACACGGTAATTACGCTGTCAAATCTTGCAAAAAAGTAGGATAAATAAATACTTGAGAGCACTGGATCCTAAATCGCCGACCTTGAAGTCGAAGAACAATGAACGTTCTGCTTAGCCTCGGCAGCGAGCCAAGACCTCGGGTTGAGTGAAAGATTAAAAAGAAAAACAAACCAGCCTTCAACGAAATGTCGAAGTACAATCACACACATGCATACACAATCTCCACTTGCTTCGGTTCAGTTCACACAAGTGGGTAATGCGTTCCCACCCTTGTTCTCAAGGCAGTTGTTTACATTGGCACATTACAAGTGAGACCTTAATTTCCTCAAAGAAAGTCAACAATAAAGTACAAAAACAACAAATTTGTTCGGTTAATGAAGTTTAAAAGTTCTTAAATATTTAGTGTAAAAGGGTAGTGAAGGTGGAACCTCGGCAAGGAGGAGTAGCTGTTGTCTGACCTCGTGATCATCTGATTGGTCGCCC